GAATATGGTGACGTATCTAACGGAGGTGGCGGGGATGGGAAACTCGGCGGCGGCGAGATTTGTGAACAACTGGAGCGGATTTAGCTCCATGTTGCCCCTCCTCATCGCCCCCTTGGCTGACTCTTACTTCCATCATCACTCTACTATTTTGGCATCTGCACTTTTCTATTTCCTGGTGAGCGCGCCTATTACTCCCTATGTTTTTTTTATTTTTCTGTTCCCTAAAACATTTCCTATTTTTAACTACTCCCTCCGTCTCGTGAAACATGGGACATTTGCTTTTTAGGAAGGATTTAAAGGAGTTTATTTTGGTACTGAATTTCCAAAAATGTCCTTTGATGTGATGAGTAAAAGTATGATTTGATGGATAGATTATTAGTAAAAAGGTATGATGTGATAGTTAGGGTATGAAAAAGTAAGGGGTAAAAGTGACTTTTTAATAGAAATGAGAAGTGTTTTGTGGGACGGATAAAAAAAGAAAGGGGAAATGTTTCACGGGACGGAGGGAGTATTAGAATTGGAAGTTGTAGACGTTGTATCAAGTTGAAGTGACGACATTTGAAACGAGTAGAACTCTAGAAATATCAAAACATGTAGAGCGTATGAAGGTAGTTGGTGTATGTTTGTTTATAACATTTTAACTATTAATATCATTAAAAACGAGTAATTAAGTCCGGATCATTAAGTTATCTCTAAAAGCCAAAGAATTAAAGTTGTGGATTTGGACCATTGACATATAGATGAATGACAAGCATTCAGTTGGGTGGAGGAATCATGGAGGTCTATGTCCCCCCAATCTTAGTATTCCACCACTCTTATTAGTTAGTGGTCTCCTAATTAAAACAATTCACGCAACTAATAATAGAAACTTTTTAAGTTAAACATATTATTCGATCACTTAGCTTTGTTTTAAAAGGTGCGATCGACAGGTACGTACGTACATAAAATTCTACTACCTCCGTCCGACGAAAAAGTTCTCATTTTGACCATAAATTGGTCAAACTGTTACACACTTTGACCCTAAATTAAATATAATCTAAATAAATAAATGCTAAAAACATTTGAGATATCAAAACTAGATCCTAAGATGAATCCAATTATATAAAATTTATTCCATAATTCAATATACCTTTCTCACAATTTATAGTCAAAGTGTGTAAATATTTGACTAAATACTATTCAAAATGAGAACTTTTTTGTGGGACGGAGGGAGTATAGTGATGAATGATTGCTTTAGTTTATAAGACCGAGTCTAAATACTTTAATGAGAATTTACTTGAATAGCACTAAAACATAATGACTTTCCCTAAATAGCATCACATGTTTTTCTTCCCAATGTAGCACTTTTAGTCATTATGCATATTAGTCATTATTCAAGCAAATATTCACCATCACTGAACATTATGGACATTATTAAGTGTTATTTAAAGAATAAAACAATTTAAGTACTATTTAGAGAAATGACTTAAGTTTTAGTGTTATTTAGTAGAAATATTTCTACTTTAATTTGTATATCTAATTAATTAAGGTTGTGTTTGGTTAGTAAGAAATACTCCCTCCGTTCCTAAATAAACTTCCTCTTTCGTTTTTTCTTTGTCCCTAAATAAACTTCTCATTTCCCTTAAAAAACCCCTTTTACCCCTTACTTTTTCATACCCTACCTATCACATCATACCTTTTTACTAATAATCTACATATCACATCTTACATTTACACATCACATCAAGGGTATTTTTGGAAAGTCAACACCAAAATATCCCTCCCTTAAATCTTCAAAAAGTTAAAAATGAAAGTTTATTTAGGGACGGAGGGAGTATTTATTTAGAAGAATATATTTTCAAAGGTAAAATCATTCCGGGGGGAATTATTTACCAATCATTTTTTTCCCGTAACTTGATAGGATCGAAAATATTTATTTAAAAAAATACTCACAAAACCGTTCCGTTTTGATTTTTAAAATATTTAAAGGAAGTATATTTTGGTGTTGATCGGAGTTTCTAAAATTGCCCTTGAATGTGATAAGTAAAAGCAAGATGAAATTGATAGATTAATAGTGAAAACGTGTGATGTGATCGATAAGTTAAGAATTCGTAGGGGTAAAATTAATTTTGAATAGAAATGTGAAAGGTTTTTGGAACAGATGAAAATAGAAAAAAAAAAGGTTTTGTAGGATGATGAAAGTAGTTTCTATTAATCATATTTAAAATTTAACATTAAAAAAAGTTTCTATTATATACACACACACACACATACATATATATATCTGTGTGTATACTTTCGTTTATTTTTTGTTGTTTTTTAAGAAAATTATTATTCTATGATACATGAAAATGAGATCAAATATGTGAAATTTGCTTTGAATATAACTAAAACATAGGTCATTTCCCAATAATGACTACTCAGGGACGGACCAAGTAAAAGATGATGACCAATGATCCTACATTGGGAAATAAAAATACATGGTCGATATTGAGAAAGTCATTATGTTTTACTCCTATTTAGGTAAATTACTCATCAAATATTCATGAAAAATAAATTCCCCAACCAAACACACCCTTAGATCCTTTTCTCTTTAACGGATGGTGTAGGGTAAATAAGTGAAGAGTATATAATTTAAAAAAGGACCCTACATTTACACCAAAAATTGTACCCCATATGTACACCGCAGTTATACACAAACATTTTGATGGTTTACACCGACACAAATGTTGGTGCGTTAACAAAAATTTACACGGACACAAAGTGTTGGTGCGTTAACAAAAATTAGTTTTACACCAATACAATATGTTGGTGCAAAACTGTGGGGTACAAAATGGGGTACAAAAGGTTGGGGTACAAGTAGCTTTATCCTTTAAAAAACAAAGTATAAAATGGATGGTGTAGGGTAAATAAAAAAAGGGTAGATTTGGAAGCTTTAAATAAAAAGTCTCATGTAAGAAATTTTTTTTGGAAGCATTAAATTTTTTTTTTGTGTGTTTTTAAATTAATAATGTTATTATTATTTTTATTACAAGATTTTGTTTTTAAACATCAGACATAACACATAATGTAATTAAACCTGGTTTTTCTTTAATGATTGATTTTTTTTCATTATAGCCCTACATTTGGAATAAAGACATAGAATTTTTTTTACATTTTTTATGTTTTACTTCTACTGAGTCAGCGAACAACGTAAGATAGGCCTTAGGTAATGTTGTTTGATGAACAAACTAAAGATGCAATGAAGCATTTTAGAGATGGAGATAGCAGTTAATATTCTACAATGCAGTTAAGCTTAACTTATCTGAATAGTTTTTTTTTTACATTTTTTGGATCGTTTTTGCTTTTTCAAGATGAAGTTCTCTCTTGGTTTTTATAATGTAGTACTCCTCACCCCATTTCATTATTATATTTAGATTAAATATAGATGTGTTCCTTATATAAAATTTAGATTAAAAAACATTTTTTATGTAACTATTTTATCCATAGTTTTTTAAATAGTTTAAAATATTAATGTTTTCCTATTTTATCTTGTAGATTAATATAAAAAATGGTATTATTCATATTAAAAAGTCGAAGAAAAAATAATAATCAGTGTGAATTATAAAAATAGTGAGATGAAAAATGAAATAATTTATAAACTATAGTGATGAACATAATAGGTGTAATAATAATAATAATAATAATATATCGTTTTTAGAATAATTGGTCGGAAGTAGAAACAGTTTGAAGAAAATAGAAATAGTTGAAAGAAACTGGATGAAACTGGAAGGATCTGGAAAAACTGGAAGAAACTCGAAGGAACTGGAAAAAACGGGAAGAAACTAAAAGTAACTGGAAAAAACTAGAAGGAACTAGAAGAATCGTAAGAAATTGGAAGAAAGTGGAAAAAACTGGAAGAAACTAAAAAGAAATAGAAAAAACTTGAAGTTAAAAATTCAAGCCCTATGAAACAGGATCTTAGTCTTATTTAGAGAAACACAGGTTTTAGTCCTAAAAGGAAGAGAGAAAAACCAAAATAGCACTCTAAAAAGCTTAAAATACTCTAAATAGCAGTGCTATATGTTTCGTATCTGTGATTCTGATTTTTTCCTTTAATTAAACAACAAATATTTATTACACACTGCCAAAAAATATGATTGTTTTGGGCAGTGTGGTTGTTCACTTGCAACTGTGTGGTGGGCAGTGTGATTTTTTATATGTGAGTATTTAATGTGGCAGTGTAGAATGGATATATGTCGTTATATCTTACATCTTACGGCAGTGTGTAAGTGCATTATTGTGCTCCTTAATTTCATGTTGGAGTGTAATGTCCATTGATTTATGTGGTAGTGTTTTCTTGTATAAATTCTATATTGTCAAAAAGTGTATGACTATTTTCATGTATGAATTCCACACTGCCCAAAAAGTGTATAGCTCTTTTTATTTATGAATTCCACACTATTTTCATATATGAATTCCACACTGCCAAAAATGTGTAATGTGTATAACTATTTTCATGTATAAATTCCACACTGTCTAAAAATATATGATTGATTTCATGAATAATCTATTACACCAAAACACATTGGCCAAACATGGCGTTAAATATTCGTAAGCTGCGTAGGAATAGGATCTAGCAGAACTATGGTAAACAACGTATGATGATGTTCTCGTACGTATGAGACGCAAGAATGAGGAGGAGCCACACATATGAGGAGGAGTGGCTACGCGAATAACCTAAGTTTAATCAAATAATTAAATGTAATTAAAAATAGTATAATATAATAAAAAGTAAAGAGTATGCTTGGAAGATATTGACACTATAAATAGTTAAATTTGTATAAAAGATTAAGGAGTGCTATATGTGTAATATTGAGTGACTTAAAGTGCTACGTAGGATGATTTTTTAAAAGGAATAAGTCTTTCTTCTTTTTTACTTATCTCGCAAAATATTTCAATTCTCATTTATATTACTCCCTAAAAAATTATTTTTACTTCTACTAATTCTTAAGATACATTTGACATCATATCTTCTTATTAGTAATCTACATATTGTTGTGGGTCCAGCCCATTTTCATTTGGGTTCCATTTTTTTCTTTGGTGGAGGGCCCAATTATGTTTTTACTTTGTTGACTAAAAAAAAGAGAGTAAAAGGGCTGGGCAGTGGCAGTGCTTACGAACAGAGCAGAGAGAGCAAACAGAGAAAAAAAACAGAATAGAGAGAGGAAAGGTGCTGGTGCAGAATTTACAGACCAGCCGCACAAATCCGATCATCGCCGGAGATCCGACCGTTGGATTGAGCTGAAATTTTCAGAGGTTGTTCCCAACACTTTGGGCTTCAATCTGTTCAAGTTTCACATTAATCGGAGCTACGGATCTTCTGTAATCGCAGCTGGTGCGACGCTGCTTTTTTGGGTGATAATCCTGATTTTCCTTCTCTATTGTTGATGCCTCTTATGTATGTTGTTGTTGGTGGGTTGTGACATCCTTGTAGACTGAGTTTGGGTGTTTTTACCCTCAATTTGCATAATAAGAGAAGAAGAGGGCGGACTCCCTATAAGTCCCGTGGTTTTTATCCTTCACATCGAAGGGGTTTTCCACGTATAAAAATCGTGTGTCGTTTGCATCTTTATTCTTCATATTTTATTGTGGTTTATTTGATGTGTTGCTGATTTTGTGTGCTTGGTTAATCAATTGTGGTAAATTGGGTAAGTGTTTGGTTGGTTGTCTTGAAGTTGATCCTTGTAGGTGTCGTATCCTACTTGTTGCTTCTCCCCCAACACATATCACATCTTACTTACACTTATCACATCAAAAGTATTTTTGAAAAAATTAACACAAAAATATCTCATCTTTAAATTTTAGGGAGTAGAAATTTTTTTTCGACCATAGCAGTGATGAAATCATGTACAGGGGCTGGTAGCTTTGGCATCAACGACAATACTGGGGGACACCGGAAGCAAGACAACCACGACGGCTCCCCTCACGGTGTCGCTCCACCTGATCTCCCTCGGCCTCGCTGGTTACAACCCATCCCTACAAGCATTTGCGGCGGAGCAGCTCCAAGACGAAGACGGAGACAAGAGTTCGTTCTTCCAATGGTGGTACTTCGGAATCTGCTGCGGCTGTCTCGCCGGCGTCTCCGTCATGTCTTATATCCAAGACACCTTTGGGTGGGGACTTGGATTCTCCATTCCCACCCTTTCCATGCTCGCCTCCGTCCTCATTCTCCTCTCCGCCAATCGGTTCTACCTGTACACGGCGGATTCCAAGCCAATCGCCGCTTTGCAGTGTCACAAATCCGCCATTGTCCAGCTTCATGAGTGAGTTCTTACTTATTTTACATTTGGAATGTTTTAATTTAGAAGAGTAGGCCAAGAAACACGGATTATTTTTCATGAGTTTTTATTTAAAAAATGAACTAATTTGGAAAAACATTGGCGATCATTTTGCAAAATTAATAATGTTATTTTGATGATTGCTAGTATAGGCGAAAGGACTAAATTGAGTATTATTTTCAAGTAACGAGCTAGGGAATACACATAATTATTCGGTACAATTTTGAAATATAATTTTACTCTTTTAAATTTTACAAGATTTATATTTGGAACGTTTTAGAGGATCGGAGTAGTGAAGTCAAAATTAATACTTCCTCCGTTCCAAAAAGTCTTTCACGTTTCAAAAAAATAGTGTTCCATTATCTCTTTCCTATTTCTATTAAAAAACCACTTTTACCCCTTAATTTTTCATACATTACCTATCAAATCATATCGATTTTTTTCTTAATAATCTACACATCACATCTTACTTAACATAAAATTATCACCACTTTATTTTGTCATTTTAATCAAATGTTCCAATGTTTCTCGGAAGGAGGGAGTATGGTGGGAGGTTAATTAAGAGTAAATTTTGTTAATTATTTTCTAGACTTGAAGAAGAAAAGCTAGTGTTTCAGAACCATGAAGAAGGGGAAGAGGTAGAGAAGAACAGGTCAAAGAAGCAGCGCATAAACGTCGTCTACCAAACGGGCAGACTGGTGATACGGTTATTCCCCGTTTGGACATTGCTGTTAACCTTCGCCGTCATCTTCCAACAGCCGGCGACTTTCTTCACAAAACAAGGCATGACAACGGCGAGGAACATCGGACCCAACTTCAAGATCCCGCCGGCGGCTCTGCAGAGCGCCATAACCGTCTCCATTATCCTCCTCACGCCAATCTACGACCGATGCTTCGTCCCCCTCGCCCGCGCCTTCACGGGAAACGACAAAGGCGTCACGGTGAGGCAACGGATGGGGATCGGGATGCTCGTCTCCGTCGTCGCGATGGCGGTCGCCGCCGTCACCGCCTGCAAGCAGAGGGCGGAGGCGGCGGAGATGAGCATCATCTGGCTGCTCCCGCAGTACATTCTCCTGGGGGTTTCGGACATTTTCACCGTCGTCGGAATGCAGGAGTTTTTCTACTCCGAGGTTCCGGCGACGATGAGGACGTTGGGGATTGCCCTGAACACCAGCGTGTTCGGGTGCGGGAGCTTCTTCGGTTCTTTTCTCATTTCTTTGCTCGAGCATTTCACCGGCGGGGACGGGCACGGGTGGTTCTCGGACGATATGAGGGAGGCGCGCCTGGATAAGTATTACTGGTTTCTGGCGGGGTTGAGCTCTCTGAGCTTGGTCGTCTTTGTCATATTCTGTAAGTTTGATCGGGTCTGTAACTAATTGAGGATGGGAGCTTTTATTTAATTAATGAAGGCTCTGCCCTCAACTCTGTACCTAGGGTTTGTACTTTGTAGATAAGTGTGTTGTAAGTTTTCTAGTGGGAGCAGTATGTGTTTAATGACTTAAATCGCTGCATTTCTCGATCGTAGTGACACCATTCTTACTTTGAACACAAGAAACCTGATCATATATTTTCAATCTATTAACTTCGTAGAATAGACTTCTCCGTCTACAGAAAATTAAATACATGACCTCTCATTTCGGAGAGTCATAACGTGTCATTGGCGACACCACTCTTGATACCACAGGGTCCTAGAGATGCTATTTTTCGACCCAAAAAAAAATAGGTAAATTTAAGATTACAATAAAAGACAGCGAAGGAATACCAAAATGTTTTTATAGATAAAAATAATAATGTTGAGTTAATCAATTAAAAAAATGATCCTAAGTAGGTGAGCAGGGCGAGGGGAGGGGGTGGCAGGGTGTGATGATGAGGGTGATAGTGTATGAAGGACCGAGGTGTGGGGTGGTGGGTGGTAGGGGTGAGGCATAGCGGGAGATAGTCTATCGTACAATCGGGTGTACCTAGAGTTATGTACACCCGTCAAATGTTTATTTTAAATTAACGTATGGGGTAGTATTCATTCTGATGCAACGTAGTGTCTGCTTTCACACATTTATACATTATAGTTATAATATTTATTTACGAGCAACATAATGTTCATTCTTTAACAACGTAATGTTAATTCTAAGATCGTTCAACGTAATGTTGTTTTTGAAACAATGTATTGATCGTTCTCATATGGCATAGTATCAATTCTAAAACAACACAATGTTCATTTATAGTTTGCCCAATATTCATACAACCCTCGAATTCATACCGCCGCCTCCACGAATTTCATCTTTATCCTCTTCATTGCACCTATTCCAATTTGTATCATCACCAGGCAATTCTCGCCGCAGCCGTCCACCTCAGATCTCGTCGCCATTGTCCACCTCAGTTTTCAGAAACTTGCCAATTCTCCTCTTCATTAGCTTCGATCGACTATTCAATTGGCGATTCTCCTATTTCACCAAAAAAATAAAACTGACTATACAGTCTTTTCTCGTACAGCCGGTTATACGGTAGAATTTGGGGCATAAAGGAGTTTTTTTGTGAAAAAATTCATTATACATTTATTTTTTTGCACAAAAAATCACGGTTTATAATTCCAAGTTTTTTAAATTTTATTTTACGGATTTCGAACGGAGAAAAGGAAAAGAAAAAAAAGCAACGCCCATTATTTGCAAATATACCGTACAGCCAGCTGTACCAAATTTCTAGTACACCGCAATTAGAAAGGCACCGACGGTCGAGAACCACAGAGAGTGAAGATCAATCGAGATCGAAATAGATAAGATCGGAAATAGATCTGAGATCCGATCGATAATGGGGTGGGAGAGAGTGGAGCTGAAGAGGGCGTACGAGCTCTCTTTAAAAGATCTGAGATGAAATAGATCTGAGATCCCGTCTCCTTCGATTTTTCTAAGAATCAAATCATCATTAGCTGAAGAAGCCTACTATTTGTGCTTTGCGATGGTGAGGTTGTGCAATTAAAACTCTACTGGTTCTGCAGCAAGTATGTGCTCTCTCTACCCATTCAATTATTCCAAGCTTATGTAATTGTGGTGAATGAATATTGTGTAACAGGTACTATCCTATTTCAGATTGAGTACTGTGTTATTTTAGAATGAATATTGTGTTATTTAAGAATGAGTACTAGTCGTATTTTATTTTAGAATGAGTACTACGTATTTCGAAATGGATGTTTATATTTGTACAAAAATGAATACTCCGTACTATAGTAGTTTGAAAAATGCTAGAGTCACAAACAAATAGTTCACAAACTTTACAAACTTGTCTTTTGTAAATTTTAAATTAAAATATCTTTTATTATTTGAGTATTTTATTTCTAAAAAATGTTAAAAACGAAAATTTATCAATTTTGTAAATTATTTGTTTGTGACCCTAGCATTACTCGTACTAGTTTACTTACCTTCTGGCCATTATTAAAGGAGATCTATGATTGGTCCGCCGTTTTGGCAATTCGGCCGAGTCTCCCACACAAGTACCCAGCCACCGGAATATTCCTGCTGATCCCGAGAATGGTGGTCGAGAGGGGCGGTGCCGTCGTAATTTTTTTGATATTCTTATCGGGCCTCGTCCAACTAGAAGCTATTCGTGGACGTCATCTCCTACCGTCGGTCCCAAGACCGCCGCCCAACGATGCAGCCGCCTTTGCACGGTGGTTAGTTTCTCAGAGCTCATGGGGTGTCCTCAAGTGCGTTCTCTCTCTCTCTCTCTCTCTCTCTCTCTCTAGGTTTAATACGCGCTGAATTTGAATTCCAGTTTCGCAATCTGCTGTTGAATGTCCAATCGATTGAAGGTCAATTCGAGTTGGAGCTCATATACTTTGAGAAGAATAAAAAGAGCAATTAGGTCAATTGAATGATTCTTCTTTGGATACTGTTTAAGGATTGATTATATGCAAGCTAATTAAATTTCATGGGTGTGCAGTACAATTGCAAGTGACCTAGGAGGAGCGCCTTTCGGGTAAGCTGATGGGTTTATCTTTACTCCATTTGAATTCTTACTTTTTAATTTTCTATATGAAGTCTTCATAAGCAAATACAGCGAAGTAGTCTCTCTGTAAGTCTTGATCCCATTAGATTTAAGATTATAATTGGGGGTTTTGTTGTTGATGTTGTTATACTCATTTTGAATTATTTGGGCATTGGGATTTATTGAATAGGGATTCCTTACTTCTCCCACCAGTTCTTAGGAATTTCTTTATCTTTGGAGTTGTGATCATTAGATCCCATTTACTTCTCAAACCTTCATACATAGTAGGAAAGAAGAAGCACTCAAGTTTAATTTTCCTACCCAGACCTAAAATTTTGTCGAAATGACTTTTAACTCCATTACCAATGGTCGAACATGCTTTTGATTGCAATTGGATTTATTATGGAATTGGGACAATACGAGTTGGTAAGCTTATGCATCCCGCATATGTTGCGCAGGAATGTTGTATCATATAGTGATGGAGCACCTGGGGAAGGTCGTGGCACACCGTTCTTCTACTTAACAACCCTTGATCCCACTGCCAAATACGGATTGGAAGACCAAAGATCATCCTTCACCATCAGCGAATATCCCATTGGAACATGTGGGGATAAAGATCCCGAAAACCCTACATGTGCTAAAATCACATTCACAGGAAAGGTTGCTTACCCTTTGAATCAAGCTAAGATCCTTTTGGTACACTTTACTTTTTTTTTCCGAGTGTTTTCAATACTTGATGCAATTTTTTTTGTAGTTCAAATTGCTTGGGGAGAACTCGGAGGAAGCCCAATTTGCTCAAACTGCATTATTCACAAAACACCATGAGATGGCAGGTCAAAACAATTTATCTCTTGTTTGCCCTTCTCTGGCTTGTCAGCACATGCATCATTATGACCTTATGATTCTTCCACAGGCTGGCCAGAGGATCACAATTTCCAAATTTTCAAATTAGAAATCGAAGCGATATTCCTAATTAATTGGTATGGTGGCCCCAAACCTCTCACAGTAGATGAATACCTGCAAAGCCAAATCCCAAGTTCAAACCAGTAATTGCCTTTTCCTTGTTAACTTGAAGAGAAGACAATAAAACCACATCCTCCTATTGCTAAACCATGACTATATTGTTGTATGCAGGGTCAAAATGGTCTCTTCAGGGAATTTAATATCAACATCTGTCCCCAAGTTGATTCCATGGCTGGATTGGAGCACCTGACCCAAACCCTGGGAGGGATTATATGTTTCCTTGGTATTCATATCTTTCAATCATGTTATAGTGTCATATTGACCAAAGATCCATGCTAGGGGCACTCCACTTTCTCACAGATACCCCTCTTATTGTTTAGTGTTTGTGTATATATGTGAAAAAAATGGGGTAAAAGGTGGGGTGCTTTTAGCATTTTCCTTGGCCAAATGTAAACATACAAATCAGCATATACTTATCATTGGACTAGTCCTTTGGATGATAGTCATGATACCTAAGAATCAAATAAATTCTTGTGCATAGCTTTAAAAAAACATCTATGTAAAAAAAGGTGTTATTGAGATTAGTATACTTCTTGAGGTTGAACTGAGGTAGAAAATATTTTACATAGCAGTAAATCAATACATGCAATCAAACATAAAGAAAGCAGGTTCAAATTTAAATAATCTTTTTCAACAAGCTTTAACAGAAGAGGGTGTTCTTTTAGGCTGAGAAGATTCAGGAGCATCTTGGCTATCCTCTCCACAGCCCTTCCCATGCCTTGCAACAAACAAAGCAACCAGCAACTTCTCCTCATCAACCCCTCTCGGCCGTGATCCGCCGCGAGTGGGCCCCGCTTTGCAACCGTGATCTGCCGGAAACCGGTGCTGCAGGCACACCCGGAGCTGGCAGGCATTGCAAAAGCTATTGTTCGAAAAGGTCAATACTGCCCTGCACCGCCTCACGGGACAGGTGGGTTTCTTCTTCTTCTCCGGGTCGCAGTGGCCGGAACTCTCGTGCTGCTGCAGCGCGGCCTTCTCAGCTTCCCCGTCGCAGCCGGTGGTCTCGATGGAGGCGGAGCACGTGGGGCACACAACCACCTTCCTGTCGGTGCGGCCTGATTTTGGGCAGGCGTGGGACTTGTAAGATCTGTGCTCCAGGCAGAAAACGCAGTGGCAGGCATCGCATCGGAAGGGGAGAAAATCTAGCCGGCGGCAATCGGAGTTTTGGCAATGGCTTCCTAAATCTGGAAAAGCTTCTGTTCCTCCTCCCATATCTCTCTCTTTCTTGATCTCAATCTTTCCCTTTGTTTTCTTGGTTTCCTTCTTCTTCTTCTTCAGATTGTGATTTTGATAGCAGGCAGGGGGGGAAGAAGTTATTATATAGGGAGAGATGTCTTGGAGCCGAAGCCAAAATTTGATTCCAAAACTTACCCGCAAAAGGAGAAGAAAAAAAAACCTTTTAAATGTGAAAGCGCGTGCTTGGTGGAGCTTCCGGCTTCGTACGCGCGCTTCCGGCTCGCGGAATAAGTGTGAAAGCCCAGTCCAATTTGCCTTCGAGGCGTTCGAATACAATGGGCTTTTAGCATGGACAGTGTGTCACTTCATTCGTCAACCAAAACGGCCCAAAAAAGAGTCACTTCTCGAAAGTTCTTCCTTTATTTCCCTCCACATCATCCATTTTTATACTACAGCATTTTCTCATTTTATTTTCCCTACCCACTCTAATCATTCTTCTTATTTTTATTTTAATTTCAAATTACTTGCATTTTTTGTTCTCAATCAATCAAATTTAATGTGTAATTTTATACCCAATAAAAAAAATTCTCGAGCATTTTATTCCCTTCCCAACTACACTCCCTCACTTTGTTCTACCCTGTTTAACTATTCTTCTTTGACACATAAGCTAGCCACCTCCTTATTTCTCTTTGTTAGAGAATCATATTTAGGAGCATCTTCATTAGAGTATCATATTTAGAAGCATGTTCTTTAATGTTTCAATTTTAAACTTCTCGTTTTCTTTTAGTTTCTTTTAATTTCTTCTAGTTCTTTTTAATTTTTTCCAGTTTTTTAACTATTTTTTTTAGAATTTTTTCTACTCTCCAAACAATTAATCAAAAATGATTTATTTTTAATGTGACTATTCTTATTATTATTATTACGGAGCATTATTATTGTATTATTATTCTTATTATAATTATCTTTATTATTATTATTATTATTATTATTACTATTATTGCAACTATTATGTTCATTACTATAATTTATAAATAATTTCATTTTTTTTATTTCATTTCAGTTTTTCTAACTATTTTTTTTCTCTTCAAATTTTTTCTACTCTCCAAACAATTAATCAAAAATGATTTATTTTTAATGTGACTATTATTATTATTATTATTATTACAGAGCATTATTATTGTATTATTATTCTTATTATAATTATCTTTATTATTATTATTATTATTATTATTGCAACTATTATGTTCATTACTGATGGTGTAAATTACCTAACCGAGTAAATTATTCTAGACTGGGTCTAGAATCATTTACTTGATTCGATAAAGTAAGAAGGTAAAGATACGCAAAGTGACCGGGGGAATTTAGGTAGAAACACATGTAGCTCAATTAATATTATAGCAGAGAATGCACGGATGCTTTTACAGTGGAGTTTAGAGAGAATGAATTCGGATCCTTCTTTCAAATATTTCCCGTTTGACCGGTCAAGTATTTAGCCCTCACTTTGACCGGTTCTGGGTGGAATACATCCATCAATTACTATAATTTATAAATTATTTCATTTTTTTATTTTTTTTCCATTTCAATATTTTTATGATTTTAAACTCATAATTACATTTTTTTCTTCATCTTTTAATATAAATAATACAGCTTTTTGTTGATAAATCTACATGATAGTATAGGAAAACATCATATTTTTTTAACTATCTTTAAAAAAATAGAAGTTTATATTTTTATTCTCAAAATAGGATTTACAATGTAATTACAATGTCAATCAAGAAAAGTAAAAAAAATAGATTTAAACACATTTTGTGACACGTCTGATATTTAAAACAAAATCTTGTAATATATAAAATGCAACTACAAATATATTACTTTATAATAAATATTTTGTAAATAAATTGCGATGCAACATAACCACAATAAAATATTTTTTATTATTTTTTATTTTGTAGAACTTTTGATTACTTTTTAAATATGTAAATTTTATTTTTTATTTATTTATCAACTTTTAAATAAAATATATTTTAAAAACTTGAGATTTACATCATTTGACACAAAATATAAAGGATTATGCTATGTGTACCCCAAGATTTGTACCCCAATTTGTACCCCGCAGTTTTGCACCAACATTTTGTGTTGGTGGAAAATTAATTTTTGTTAGACGCACCAACATTTGTGTCCGTGTGAATTTTTATTAACGCACCAACACTTGTGTCGGTGTAAACCATCGAAATGTTTGTGCAAACCTGTGGTGTACAAATGAGGTATATTTGTTGGTGTAAGTGTAGCATGGTCCAAGTATAAATGATTTAGGGAGAGAAAGAGTACATTTCACAAACCATATATTGTCTCTTAGGAAAGAATATATTTCCCCAAATCTATTCTCTTTTAGGATTCGTTTGGTATAACGAATTGATGGAATTGGAATTGAATTAGAATTGAAATTTCATGAGATTCAATTCCATAGAATTGAATTCTGTCATTTCCAATTCATTTTTTGCACTATCAATTACAAATCCACATAATATTTGTGTTACCAAACATCAGAATTTGAATTCCTTGTACCAAACGGGACCTTATATTTTCACAACTCATCATATTCCCCTCATTTTTCCCTATTAGAAATCCCTGCGAGAGACTTTTAGGGGCGGTTTGTTTCAGCCTCTTAATGGTTCAGATGTCTGAATGGTTCAGCACTTAATGATTTAGACTGTTTGTTTCAGCCTCTTAATGGTTAAGAGATTTGCCTCTGAATGATTAAGTATTATACAGAGTCTGAATGGTTAAGATTTCTTATCTGAATTGATCATACATTTGCCTCTGAGTAGTTAAACAATATACTAGCTTTTAATGGTTCAGACCTTTTATTGGTTCAGTACTTAATGGTTCAGAGACCTCGATTCAGTACTTTTTCAGGTTCAGTACTAATTACGGAGTACTATAATCATGGTACAAATTCAATATGCCGCAAATGAAAAAAGGGTTTACACTGAATACATAACATACATATTCCAACTTAACATGATCCATCCTCAAACCATCGCCGCCGGATTGTTGAACGCATCGCACCTCCGTCGAATCTCGCCGTCCCGGCCAGTCTTGGCGCCGTAAGCACTGAGCTTCTCCATCGCCCGGCCGAAAGCCTCAAAGAACGCCGTCTGGTTCCGGCCGTATAGCTCCACGAACGGCCTGGTTCTCGGATCCGAATGCAGCGCGTGGTCGGACGACAACAGCCCCAATCCCCTCGGCAAGTTCTGGTAGTACACGTTGTCGAACCTGCCCGGCGTCATCACGTCGTTGGCCACCGATAGAGTCGGGTCGCGCGTGTAATTCGCGCAGGCGTTTCTCAGTTGCTCCGCGAATTGCGGGTTGTACGACGGGTCGGATCGGGTTGGCCCGGAGTGGAGGTAGATGTTGGAGCTGAACTCTTTGCAGTGGGAGAACCCGATCGTGTGTGCCCCGGTGAGGGCCACCATTTCCTGGATCGAGAAGTTTCTGGACCGGAAAATCTCGATGATTTGGGCCATAGGCATCGTGGGCCGAGGAAGATTCCCCTCTACGTGGGCTGCGCTCGACACCAGCCCGTCTCTCCGGCCCAATAGAACGGTGTAGTACGGGCCGCCGGTTTGGACGACGAGGTTCCGGGTCGCGACTGCGAGGATGTCGGCGCAGGATACGACGCCGGGGCAGGCGAGCTCAAGCGCGGTCTTGGCGCGGACCACCACATCGAATCCGTCGCCCGGGAGGGAGAGGTTGATGTCGGCGTCGCGCTCCGCCCTGTTGGAGTGGGTGGAGGAGACGAGGATGGAGGCGTCGCAGCCGCCGACGAAGCAGTCGTGGAAGGAGAGGCGGAGGGCGGCGGCGGCGGTGGTGGGGGACTCGATCTGTTTTTTGGTGGTTTTGTCTTCCATGATCCAATTGAACGAGGGGCAGCTGCGGCGGTAGTAGTCGGGGTAAAGCTGCTGCGGCGGCGGCTGGTGGGGGCGGCGCTGAGAGAAGGAGGGAGTGAGTGCAGAGGCGGCGAGAGATAGGAAGAGGAGAAAGAGTGGGAATGTGAAGGCCATTGATGATGGGCCGGGAATGGGTGTTTTGCAGAGGAATTGAATAATCTAAAAATGGCACTTCCTCTCTCCTCTCTGGGATTGAGAATTGGGAGAGATGACTGACTAATCAGAAATAATTGGGGGTTTAACTCAGAGCCAATCACGGATTAACGGCGACATTGGTGGCGTGGGGGTCCCCTTCATTAAGATATTGGGGAAATCCAGCTCTATAACCATCCATAAGGAATCAACAATTTTGTTATTGAAAATAAAGAATGAGCCCAATTCCGGAAGGCCCCGACATTATTGAAGTTTGCATGGTGCTTTGAGAATCGAATTCGAGTCTACTCTTTGGAAGATATGACTTAATGAATTGAGTTACGTCCCTGATAATAAATTTTGGAGTTATAAGTTCACTATTCGTGCATTACATATTAACATTAATTTTCAAATCTTAAATGAGAACAAAAATTTGAGTTTATGCTTTCTAGGTTAACAAACACGAGAATCTCATAACTTGTTAAAGTATAAAACAATTGTATTATGAAAAAATACGAAGAATAGTGTTGATAAAAAAATATATGAAAATAGTGTCTATGTCTACATACGTAGTATAATTCTTTTTTTCTAACAAGTGCACTATGTCAATCAACAAAATCTTATACTCTCTATTGGACGCACAATATACTTGAAGTCTTTTAGCGTGGAAAGGTTTATTTGGCTCATAACGTCTTAAACTTCAAGCCTTTCGAGGAGTTAAGATTCTTATATTTTACTCATAATTTTTTATATATGGCATGAGAGTTCTTTCAAAATTTGAAGCCTCTTAGATAGTGTGCTTCAGGATTTTCTTCCAGCACAATCAATCATATGTTATTTTAAGCTAACCGGTGAGGGAGCCCCAATTATATAACTTCTAAGAACATTTCCAACCACACTTGCTAAATATGACTTGCTAAAGTTATTTTTTAGCATGTAAATAATGGTATAGCAAGCCATTTTACATTGTCATCTCCAACCATCCCTTTCTATAATTTAGCTCACATATATTATATTTTTTTCACTATTAAAATACTTTCCTTATAATAAATATTCAATTATTATTTATATTATAAAAATTAAGTAATAATTATGTAATTTAAAAATAATAATTTAAAAAAACAATACGGAGTAATATTTTACTTTTGGGAAAATAATAAAATATAAAGAGCATTTTTTTAAATATTTAATAAATAGCAATTAAAGAGTAGAGAAAAGAACTTTACAAAAAGTAAAAAAATTAGAGAGTTGAAGTAACTAAATATTTTGAGAAGGAGAATGAGAGAAAATAAGAGAGAAATCAAATATTTAATCAATATCATGGTTTGTTATATTTTGAGAGGCTTGTTATATATAACAAGCCAAAGTTAAAATTTACCAAGTGTGTTTTAATATAGCAAGCCCCTTGGAGGATAAAAATTGAAATGAATTGCCAAATAATGACATTTTACAAGTCAAAACTCAATGGTTGGAGATGCTCTAAGTCTCATTTTCCTTGTATCCTATAATCAAACATAATTTCTAAAATAACGTTGATTGGACCCGATTATATAAGCTCAAGGCATCTTTCGCTTTGGAACCTCTCCCATACTTGAAGAGGCTCCAAACACTTCTCCCTGTGGTGTCTAAAGTTTTTTTCTAATAAGATTAAATAACAGCTGTGTAGGGGTGGGCACTGTACTAGTCTTGTATGACTGAGTTCCGAAACAGCTAATACACGATTACACGGTATATCATAGCCTAGAACAATTACAAATTTAGGAAGATGAACGCTTGAAAGTAGTGTTGAAGAATTGATAAAACGAAGAACGAGAATTACAACTCGATAGTTTAACGAATCGCGAATACACTTTCAGATCAGAGTTGTTTCGTGATATATCAAAATACTCTAATTGGATAAGACGTTAATCAAGAACAAGCCTAGCGAAAAAATTACTCTACCATACTCAGCGACTCCTTTTATATAGTTGAGGATTTTGGCGACTAGACATGAATGTCTGCACATTTCAAATACCTCATATTCCCTATGTCTGCACATTTAGAAATTTACCTAAATAAGTTTGCAATGCATATTTACATAGTTCCTACACTCTTCTACATTTTTTTAATAAAATTATTTTTTAAAAAAATAAACTACAACACTACTGAATATATTAAATCTGGAGTTCTTTAAAAAATGAGAATTAACATACTTATAAAAATGATTATTTCTACTCGAACAACACATTACGTCTTTGAGTATTCATTTATTTTGTCCATCAAATATTCAAATATACATTTAAAAAAATGAAAACAACATGGACAGAGAGTAAAATAAATCACGAGCCCGTGCGAAACACGGGGTAGAAAACTAGACATGGATAGAGAGTTAATGTCAACTAGACATGGACAAGGTTCTCGTACATAGTGGAATCGATGATTTCACAACCAAAAGAGTGACCAAAACCAATGGGGACTTGTAGGAATAAGTAGGATAATCGGTACCGAAACCTCACTTGACAATTCTAGAAATTGGGTGGGGTATGGCCGTTGGAATAGGTGAGAACGGGTCCGAAACCGGACCGGCCCGTTACAGAATTGGAACTGTAAGACATGTTTGGGAATAACGTTAGCGATCAGCATTAGCATTTTGAAAAGACTATCTACGGGCAGAGTTTAGCATTATCATTTTCAAAGTAATCTGCACCGTTAAAATTTTATCCAAAACGCTAACGCTAATCTCTGGCGCTATTTCCAAACATGCCCGGGACTTGCGGTACCATCCTTTGGGGTACTGGAATTTTGCCATTTTCGGACAAGAATCGGCCCATGTCTAACCTAAAGTCAACGTTGGGATTTGAAAATGTGTTTTCTAATTTAGGAAATCCACTTTGAACACAAAATCTTTTGATAGTTGTAATTAATCATTATATAGGAATTTGGATCTACCGAACTAAGTAATTGAGGTAGTGTGATGCTGTGGATCATGGTTCTTTGAGTTTAATGCAGCCACGCATTAGTGGGGAAGAAGATAAGGAAGACCAGAGATTGGAGGGAGGCCGCTCTCGAAAAAAGATGAACTCCATCTTCGATTATTTTGTAACAATTACATTGAATGAGATCTTTTCATGATTCTCGGTCAAAGATTTTATGCATGACATAAACGTCTTACTCTCTTTCAACAAGTGTCGACCCAGAACTAGCAAGTGTTCTTCCACTTTAATAGTTAGATTTTGGTGGTGTGATTATCCCTAATGTTGTATTAGTGTTGGGAGGTTTCTCCCAGGAAACAACAAAATGCCCCACATATAAGTTCAATGGACTTATGTCTCGGCCTTTGGGGAAGTTCGCACGAACCGGCATGTGCCCTTGCACACTATCTTTGGCTCACCCGGACTTTTATCAATTAGTTGACCCCGAACCCAACGTAGTTCTATCATTTTCGTGTCTAATTGATGCTGGTGGATAGTGCGCAGCCTACAAAGGTAAAGAGTGGCAAGGGGGTAAAATCCGAATTTGATTCATGACAATTACGTTGTGAAGCAACCATGCTAAACATATGAATTTTGTAAGTACGAGATACATATTCTTTTCTTTGCCAGCATTATACGATTAAAGTTCAATTTACTTGCTGTCACTAACCGTGCAATCGGGTTTGGTGGATCCTCGAAGATGAGTCTCATTCTATCTGTGTCTAATTGACCAATTGAGATACGCCGCCCTGAGTGGAACCCACTTTTGAAATTGCATGGGGGGAGTGGGAGTAGGTTTGGTTAAAGTACAGGGGCGTGCGAGTCATTCATTCATTCATTGTCTCTCTCTCTCTATTCCTTTAGTGCTGCACTGTCCCATAATTCTTGCGCTGTAAATACCTGGCACCAGGCTTGTGATATGATCATCCAATCCAATCCATTCTTCGTACCACCAATTCACCCACCCATTCAATAAATAAAGTTTTAGTTGGCAAGTAACTTTATTGAGGAATGCTAGATACACCAACAATTATAGCCATAGATTTCCTTTTATAATTTTAATTTTTTTTTCCTTGCTTTTGTGTGGTGGAGATGGAAAGAGATACAAATGAGGTACAAAAATTAGTGTACCTTGCATTTTTGAACTTTATTTGGTGATTTTGGTCATTGTAAATTTTTAAAAAGAACCAAAAAAGTAGTGCTTATAATTTACTCGTAATTCTTGGTGATTATTAATGAAGAACTTAAAAACATAGTTGTTGTTTATACAAGTTCTGAAAGATCTTAGGATTTGAGTATATGTCTAATGACTTCTCGTACACCACACCCGCATTATATTCTTATTTTTAGTCTTAAAACATTTAGGACTCTTATTTAAATATTTTCATACTTTTATCCTTATACCTAAGGAGATTTCTTTATTTTTTTAAAAAAAGAGTGACAACAATATTTTATTTTATCAAATAATCTATAAAAACAAGCAAATAAATAAAAATTCTGGTAATTTTTTGAACAGTGAAAGATGAATAAAAAATTTAAAGAGTAAACTTTATAACTGGTCCTTTATAACAGAGAGTTTCTCTATTTAGTCCTTTATTATCAAATATTACTTTAGTGATTCTTTTTTTACGGGTATCTTTCCACAAATAGTCTTTTTTTGATCTTCTATCATTTTAGTGTTAATTTAAGGGGTAAAAGTATAATTTCGCAATGATAATATTTTTTTTGGTCATACACAGTTCCAAAGGCTATTCTATTTCTATCGTTTCGTATTAGGGTCGCTTTTTACTACAACCATAGTTTACAAATATGATCTTTCGTCGGAATTCTAGCCACAATCATAGTCAATATTTTTGTGTTATCCGCTTAACCAATATCAGAACACGTCACTAGACATAATGTTGATATTAAATTATAGTTTTAACCTTTAAATTAATACCAACATGCCAGAAGATAAAAAAAAGATCATTTGTGGAAAGGCACTCTTAAAAAAAGAATACGGGAGTAATATTTAATAATAGAAGACTAAATATGGAATCTCTATGTTATAAAGGATCAATTATGAAATTTATTCCGATTTAAACATTGCAGTACATTATACTCCCTCCGTCCTATAATGATCTCCCAGAGTACTATTCTAATTTCCCGGAAATTTATATTTATTTGTGTTTTTTTATGGCCTATATGATAAAATAAAATATTTTTGCCACCACTTGTTTTTGTTGAACTTTTGATGTAGTTTTTAAATATGTATGTTTTATTTTTTATTTCTATATCAATATTTAAATAAAATAGATTGAAAAATCTTGAGATTTTTCTTCGTTTTGCGAACCGGAAAGATCATTATAGGACGAAGAGAGTAATGAATTAAATGAAACTAAAAAAAAATACATTAGGTATGAAAAGATGAGGTAGGTGTAGATCCAGCTTGATCATTAATGAATCAAATCCGTCCCATAGGAGTTACAGACAGGTGAAACAAAAGGTGGGTGCATGGGGGTAAAAAACGTGAACCATGGAGAAACAAATTAAAGGTGGACTGACAGCGAAGTACTGTAACTAAATAAATTTAATTTTTAGGGGCACTTGGGCCTGCCGCCGCGGGTGGTCATGTTGGCGTAGCAGCTGCCGCACATCTCCTTGTTGCCGTACTGTCCCGGCGGCACGCACTTACACCGCAGACAGCACGTCGTGCACGCCCTCAGGCACACGTTCTGCAAAACCCCCCCCCCCCCCAAAAAAATAAGAATTATATTATTACTTCCGTCCACAAATAAACTTTACGTTACGATGTTTAACTGAAGTTATTTTCAAATCATTTTGTATGAAAAAATGGTGTAAAATTGAAAAATACATATAAAAAACTATATCAGAAGATCTATAAAACTAGAGGTGACATGACTATTATTTTATCAAATAGGTGACGAAAATAGGCCAACAAAGTGAATAAAGTTTGACCATGTAAATAGTGAATAAGAACTTTATTGTTGGACGGAAGGATTATTTAATTTGTGTTCAAAGATTAATAATAATAAAAAATGTCATTTTTAGGTACCTTGCGTGTTTCTAGGTGGTGGGAAATGAGGTGACGGAGCAATTGTAGGAGGAGGAGAAGAAGGAGACGGTGGAGGCGGACTCGCTGCAGGGACCGGGGTTGACGGTGGCGGAGGGTATTTCTTGACCGGGGACGGAAGGGGTGTGGGCAGAGAGGGGGGTGGCGTCCTGACGGGAGACAGGGGCGGAGGGGGGGTAGACGGCGCCTTCACGGGAACAGGAACAGGGGACGGCGGGGGGTATGTCTTGACGGGAGGAGACGCCTGCTTGAGCGGCGGAGGAGAAGACAGAGCAGGTAACGGCGTCGCTGATGGAGGAGTGGTTTGACCCAACACCTGCATATATACAATAGGTACGATCAGTAAATATATATTACCAGAAGAAGAAGAAGAAGAAGAAGAAAGAAGAAAGATAGATAAAGAAGATAAACATTTACAGGTGATGGGGGGGACATAAGAGCGGAGAGGGATATGAAGGAAGCAAAGAAAAGGACGGCGTTGATGAAACTCATCTTCATCCCCGATGGATGCCAGAGGTCTCTATACTATTATCCACCGCTTGGATTGAGCTACGTATTTATATATAGTGATGATGATGGAGAATTGGAGATTGGACATATCTACTTTATTTGCGGGATAAAGGGCTATTTCTATATCCTATTTTCTACCATAGGTTTGTCCCAATATTTTGTGTTAGGGTAAAACTAATTTTAATTAATGTATCAATACTTTGTATATGTATAAATTTTTGTTAATGCACCAACACTTGTGTCGGGGTAAACCATCAAAGTGTTTGTGCATAATTGTAGGGTACAAATGAGGTACAATTTTTGGTGTAAGTTCATGGAGTGCATCCCACATCGGAAGTCCAAGAGTAAAATAATCTGGTATATAAGCTCTTGAGTTAAACTAACTAATCGATTGGATTCAATCTTTCAATGTGGTTCAACTCAAGTGTCTTATTATTCAATCGAGTTGTCTATACCCATCCCAAATTCTATCATAAGTATAACATGCTCCTTATTTGCTTCTTTCACATCTCTTCTACCGAGTCCCACCACATTTACGATTCATTTACTCTCTTTTTTTACCACACCCGCTCCATCCATACTACCATTGACTCAAAAAAGTCAATTGTGGATATTACTCGGGGACCAGGGAGTATGTTTGAGGATCCGTCTGGAAATATAAAATTTAAATAAAATCAATAATAATGAACATCTAACAAAGTTAGTTAGTTCCTAACAATTTGGGGGTCATGTGCGGGTGCAAATTCTACACAACCTCCGGACTGCCTATGTTATGTTGAGGCATGATTGGGTACCTTTACTGCATTGTCCCCAATGCATTTGTAAATATCACACACGTAAAATATGGTTGTGATATTCATGAAGAAATTGTGGTCTTATTTGAAGTGAAGTAATATTGGAACATCTTTAATGAATTGCTTATAGAGACTTTGTGATTGAGATACAACTGTTTTATCAAACAATTCTTTTGAAAAAATGGAGCAACTGGTACTACACATGTGCTACAAATAAGCTCTGCATAAACAACTTCTTAGGCATCTTGCACTAAAAATGTTCTTAGTTGTATTGTGTTAGGTCATAATTTTAATTTGTGCCTATTTTGGTCCTTAGCAACATCAATTTTCTAATGATCGTGTTGCACTCCGTCCCGTTACAAATAAAGGAGCTTGAATATGATATTTCGTATCAAATACTCATGATATATGTTTTTTTTTAAAAAAAAATACTCATAATACATTATGGACTGAATAATTAAATTAATCATAAATAAACAATACCTCTTATGAAAAAGCCAAACCATATATGATGGGCTAGCTATAGCCTATGGGTTTTATTTGCCAAAAGAATGGCAATGCGTGATGTTGAGCCCGGCGGGTAGGCGGAGGCAAATTTGGACCCCCAAAGATCTGTTTTTTTTTTTTTAAGTTTGAAATGCGATAAAAGAAGATATCTTTGGAGTCAAACGCGCCCACGACTAATTGCATCCCTCACACTCAATTATTCATTCTTGTTTGGCACTCCATGCTCTCCAATTTCTTAGGACTTGTTCTCTCCATCTTATCTGAATAATTTTAATTTGATTGGATATAGATTTTAATGTGGTCTGATATGATCGAAATATAGTTATATTTAAAACTATTATTGATATGATCTGAATTAATTTCAATTAAAAAAAATAAACAACTAATAAGAATAAGTTTAAAACAAAAACATATTCTTAACAACCAAAAAATTGTAGCTTTGGGAACCTCTACACTTTGGGTTCCCACACTCCCGCCCTATGGGAGGGAAAGTGACAATGTAAATCCCTATATTTTTTAAACATTTTATTTGCGAGTAGAAGTGTTTAATTGGATACACAAAAAATTAGAATAGGGAAAAATTTGTGAACCGGAGGAAATATAATTTTAAGGGTTAATAATTTTTTTTGGCCTTGTAGAATAGGTGATTTTTCTTTTTAAGCAATGTAAGTTTTTTGTCAAGTCATTCTTACAATTTTTTTAAATTTTGAAAACGGTCTTTAAATATAATTTACACATCTAATTTATTAAGATAACACATTTATTTCTTAATCAATATTCTAATCTTCTTCAAATCAGATCCTCAATTTCGAAACTTTATTTGGGCTTCTCATTTTTTTAATCATTTCCTCTATGGTTGAAGAGTCAAAATAGGAGTATATCTTTTGGCGGGAGGGAGCGGCATTGCATATGCGGAGTGCCATGTGAAAATGAATTTTTGAGCTGACTTTCAATATTTTAATGATTGATTCATACTCAATCACCAGCTACATCCTCATGTCAGATTTCAAAAAACGATCCAAAATATTTTATTTATTCAATTCCTTTTATATAAATATTGGTATAATACTCCGTAAAAAAATAAAATTTACAAATTTAAAAACTACATTATAAATTCTTCAAAATGAGGAGTATTAAGAATTTTTATTTTATCAAATAATTAATCAAAATATACATATAAACAAAAATTCTCGTGATTGTTGAAAAGGGAAATATGACAAACATTTTGGGACGCAGGAGTATAAACTTATTGTTGTGAGATGATAAAAAATATCAAGATATACTACATTTAATAGTTACTTTTTCGAAAAAAGTTATTTAATTGTACTAAGAGAATAAATCTCGATTATAAAAAATCACGTAGCTAATTATTGAATGCTTACTAAGAATTTATTTTACAGAAATATCATAATATAAAGGACAGCTTTGAAAATTTATTCTTACTAAAAGCGTGTTTTTAATGCTAAAATAGAATTTTTAATGTTTTTTTATTAAAAAAACATGCATGACTTGTAATGCCGGAATACAAAAATTCTTACTTCAATTTGTAGTCTTACTCAAATACATATTTTAACTTGTATTTCGTTCCCAAAAGAAAGTTTCTCCATATGCCTAATTTCACGAGATTCAAAGAAATTATTGAAAGATGAAAAATATGAAGAAAAAATAGACCTTCAAGTCATAGTTATCATTGGATATACTTAGACCTGGCAAATCGGTCGGTCAGGTCGGGTTCGGGTTCGGTTACCTTGGGTTCGGGTTACTTCGGGTTCGGTTAAGTTCGGGTTCGGGTTGATAACTACATGTTCATGACCCAGTGTCATCGGGTTCGGGTTGAACCAACGGGTTATGAGTTTCATTTATTTTTTTGAAATTTTAAGTAATTTTTATGACTTAGTGTCAATATTACGAATAAAAAAATTAAATATGTATAAATTTTGAAAAAATGTAAGATAAGTATGCGACATCATTAGAATTTGTTATGATGCTATAAATTTATACACAAAAAATGAGTAGTAAGCAAAGAAATATAATCATAATCTTATTTTTATAACACTATATTTCATATTAAAATGTATGATTCTGAAAAAATCTTAGATTAGTGGGTCGGTCAGGTCGAGTTCGGGTTCGGTCGGATTTGACCCATTTTTAGCGGGTCACTTCGGGTTCGGTCAGCAAAACCTTTGTTCAAAACCCAGTATTTTCGGGTCGGGTCTCGGGTCAAAAACAGGTCGGGTCATTTTTTGCCAGGTCTAGATATACTCCCTCCATCCCTAAATAAACTTTCGTTTTTGACTTTTTGAGGATTTAAGAATGAATATTTTTGTATTGACTTTCCAAAAATATCCTTGATGTCATGTGTAAAAGTAAGATGTGATATGTAGATTATTACTTCCTCCGTCCCAAAAAGATTTACACCTTTTAAAAAAATTGTGTCCCACAATCTCCTACCCATTTCTATTAAAAACCTACTTTTACCTCTTATTTTTTCAAACTCTACCTATCACATCATACCTTTTTCCTAATAATCTACACATCACATCCTACTTTTACCCATCATATTAAGGTACTTTTGGAAAGTCAACTCAAAATTATCCCTCCCTTAATTTCAACTTTAGTCAAAACGTGTAAATCTTTTTGGGACGGAGGGAGTAGTAAAAAGGTATGATGTGATAGGTATGGTATGAAAAAGTAAGGGGTAAAAGTGGTTTTTTAAAGGAAAAGAAAAGTTTATTTAGGGACAAAGAAAAAACGAAAAGAGAAGTTTATTTAAAGAGGGAGTAGTACAAGTTTTTAAAACGATTAAAGCCTAACGCCTGAGCATTAAATGTTGTTAAACTTATTGACTTAAAGTCTTTAAGCTCAACGTCATATTGACTTAGAGTTGGAACAAATTGACTGGAATATGTTAGAAAAAATAAAATTTAAAAAAAAATCATACAATTGAATGATCACCCAAATAAATATGTCAGAACGCTAATTGTAGATATAAAAAGTTTAACTTTGTCCGTGTTTAAGGTTTTATGTTGTCCATGTACAGTCATCATATGTAAATATTTTTTTGAAGTCCTTGTTGGAAGAAAAACTAACATGAAAGAATTGAAAAAAACCATAATGAGTTGGAAGAAAATTAAAAAAATTGAAACAAACTGAAAGAAGTTGAAAAATTAAAAGTTAATTTTTCTAATTGAAAAGAGCAAAACCTAAATATTGTTAAACTCATTAAATGTTGGTAAAAGTCAGAGTATGAAATTAACTGTGCAATTTAGGCTAATCCATTTAGTCCTTTTTCATATGGAAATTTTAAAAAAGGAAAACAATTACTTTAAACACAAAGAAACATTCTTTTTGGTGGGCACGAGTATTTTGAAGAGAGAAAGAAATGGTAAAAACTCCTACAGATGACACTATTTGTAGTTTATACACACAAATGATAATTGTATACATTAACTCTATATATCTAAAAACAAATATTCCCTCCGTTCCATAAAATCTTTACCATTTCGTTTTTTTTCAAATTCTCTAAAACACTTTCACTTTCTATTAAAAAATCACTTTTACCTCTACTTTTTCATATTCTATCTATCACATCATACTTTTACTCATCACATCAGAGGTAAAATTAGAAAGTCAACCAAAATTACACTTTCCTTATTTTAACCCAAAATGAGAATGATTTTAAGAAACGTAATTAGTCTCATTTATGCGTGTACAAATCACTATAAAGTTATCAAATTTAGTCTTAAGAGTTAAGATAGGTTTATCGGTGGGGGTTTTAGTGACACTGGAGTACGGTGCCACTCCGGTGCCACTGGTATTTTGGGGCACCTCCGGTGCTCCGTTCTCAAAATTGACGGTTCCTACCCCCCTAACCCACCTCCTAAACCCCCACCCTACCCCCACCTCTGCACCCCACCCCCAAACCCGCCGTAAGCCCCCCATAAAATGTGTGGCTATTATGCGTTGCATAATAGCCACACATTTTGTGGGGGGCTTATGGCGGGGTGGGGGTGGGGGTGGGGTGCAGGGGCGGGAGTAGGGTGAGAGGTTTAGGGGGTGGGTTAGGGGGGTAGGAATCGTCAATTTTGCGAAGGGAGCACCGGAGGTACTCGAAAATGCCAGTGACATCGCTAGTGACACTGTACTCCGGTGTCAATAGAACCCCACCGTAGGTTTATAGGATGAGTAAAAAGAAAAGGGTCCAATTCTTTGGAGAAAGATGGAGTAATCATTTTGACAGCTTGGAGTCATCCCGCACCAGCTATCATATGCCATATGCGACGCAAGTATATGAGATTCCTAATCTCGAGCAATATCTTTTCTCAAAATACTTTTTTTTAACCTTATTTTTCCTGATGGCGTAAATTACTTGACCGGTCAAACTATACTAGACCGGGTCTAGAATAGTTTACTTGATTTGGCAAAGTAAGAAAGGTAAAAACACGCAGATTGACCGGTAGGACTTTATGTGGAACACCTGTAGCCCAATTTTTTAACCTTATTTTCCCCTTTTTACAAAAAAACAGAAGAAAAAAAATACTCTCTTCCGCAAGAGCAGCTCCAATAGAACGCTATTAATCCCACCTTTCATTTATTTGTAAATTATAGAAATTTTTTAAAAAATTTGTTAAGTGTCCGTTAGCTTTTTAACGACGATCCAAGACTCGCACGCATGCAAAAATGTGAGATTATTTCTGGTGACAGTAAAAAGTAAAATTATTTTTGAAAATGCGCAAAAAAATGAGATTATTTGAGATGATTTTTATTTTAAAAAATACTCCGTATGTGATGCAAAAAAGACTTGCATGTGTAATTTATGTACTTAAGAGATTCCAAAAGGACCCTTAGTGTAGCCTGTCAACTAGTCATCGCACCCAACATATTGGCCTTTTTTGAGAAAAGTGTTTCCAATTGACATTAAAGGACTGTTTGTTTCAGCCTCTTAATAGTTCAGATGTCTGAATGATTCAGCACTTAATGATTCAGACTGTTTGTTTCAGCCTCTTAATGGTTCAGATGTCTGAATGGTTAAGAGATTTGTCTCTGAATGTTTAAGTATTATACAGAGTCTGAATGGTTAAGAGCTGTTATCTGAATTGATCAGACATTTGCCTCTGAATAGTTAAGCAATATACTAGCTCTTAATGGTTCAGACCTCTTACTGGTTCAGCACTTACACATTCAGAAGTTGCCAAAAAGCCCCTAACATTTTGATTAGGTTGTAACTTTTTAAAAATGTAAATCGTCCCACGCCCCAACATACTGGCCATATTTAATTACGTATTTATTTATTTATTTATATTTGTTTGTTTTCTCTCAAGCGCTATTGGTATGCAGTAGGACTTTCCAGATGCGAATGAGGGAACGAATGACATAAGATGCTTCCTCATTTGTTCGATTCTATGCTGTCCCTTAGCTATGTGTACCCATTCCAATATTCCATCATGTTGTTTTAGAAAATCAAACATTTTTGTTGCAAAAAAAAATAATCAAACATTAACGTTTTGTATTCTTTAATGTCCTTTGTGCTGGACACTGTCCGCCACTGGTACCGTTGACGGAGACGGTGAAACGGTACGGAGGACCGGACCCGAAACCGGGCATCTACGAGTCCGGTTTCGGGGTATAGATATTTTGACCGGAACCGGAGGTAAGGGAGGTTCTTGTACCAGTTCCGACCCAATTTTGTATTTTTGTTTTCTTTTTTTCCCTTTCCGGTGGTATAAGTGAAAGTTCGCACAACGAACTTGCTATGTACTAAAGGGTGTCATGCGATTACGACGAAGAGAAGGACATGGACTTCGATGTCATTGAGTAGTGGAAGTGGAATGAACAAAGGGACAGATCCATATTACAGTAGTTGGGGGCAATCGCCCCCTACTATTTTTAAGGTTTTTTAAAATCATATATATTGTGATACTTATTAATTTTTTAAAATGTTTTTTAGAGTCATGTAATTTACGACCTCAACTAAAAATATTAGAGATCCCAATTGAAAACATTAGATATTGAATATTAGAGATCCCAATTGAAAACATTAGTTGTGTTAAGTTAGAAAACAATGAGAGAAGTTGAATATTTAAATATTTAAAGAATATAATTATAAGGTGAAATATTTAAAAGTCCAAAGATAAATTCTAAAGTAGTGCACTAAAAATATACTGAGTAATAATTAAACTAATTTATAATATTGGCATTAAATAAAAAATTGGTTTTTTTTAATTTTTTTACTATTTGAATAACTGTTTGATGGTAAATTCATTATTTTTGTTAAAGTTTCACATTGAATGTATAAAAAAAGTTTTGGGAACGTTGCCCCTGAACACCCAAAAAGTGACCCCTACTATCTAACATTCTGGATCCGCCACTGAATGTACACATGTTATCGTCTCTCGGAATGCTATCCAGACAAGTCTTATTCATGCGGTTTTAACCGTATCTGTGGAACAAGAATCCAGTTCTGGTAGCAACATTCTAACCGCCTACCAAAATTGTCTTAACGCTGGATCGCTTGAGACACTTGTTTGCAACCGAGATTGGTTCTTGGCAAGACGTCGATCTCAAGAGTTAGGGTACAACATTGATAGCGAAAATCACATGGATGCAACCACAGAAGGAAGCAGTAGTTCTGAGCAATGACTTCACATTTTTTAAAATTATAATTAGGTTTTTAGATGAGCGATATATAAACTCCTTTGTTATAGACTTATAGGTACTCATAATCCCAATTATACAGTCAATTTACCTTGACAATTGACACTATCAAATTATTAAATTCATTATTCTTTACTTCTATTTTGAAATGTTTTATATTCCGTATTTATGTTTTTTAAAATTGTGTCTAGACAATGTTTTAAAATCTTAACCATAAATATTAGAAAAAAAAAACATTAAATTTTGTTATAAATTTAATATAAATAGATTCATTTTAAAACATTGTACTACTTCGGTATATCATAAACTCATATTAAAAAGAAAGAATAAATATTCTTCTATGAGGGGGACTAGGCTCCGTTCCGTTCAACTTATTTTTTTCTAATCTGATTTTAATAAGTTCTGATGTGATCTGATTGGATCTGATCTGGTCCGATCTGATTAATTATGATTTGATTTAACTTAATAATAACTTTTGAAAATTGTAGTGATAATTCATATTTTAATATAATCAATATTTTTTATTTTATGAATATTTTTTAATAAAATAAAATTAGTTAATTCATATACTAGAATAATCATTAATATTATAATGTAATAATATTTTTTATTTTATGATTATTTTTTTGTGAAATTAGAATATTAATTTAATATTTTAATAATTACTTCATATATATTAGAATAAATATTTAATTTATATATACATTAAAAAGTAATTAAATTTAGATAAAGATAGTATTTTTATTAAAATATCTCATTCTTACAAAAGATCAAAACTTTAGAAATTCAAATTACATGTAGAAATAAAAATGTATTTTAAAAGTAAAAATTAGATTGACATTGTCAATGTATTTTAAAAATAATTTTTCCGACTTTTAATAATTAAGGATTAATTTCTCAGTTTTCTATTAAATTTGTTTAGAAAGTTTATTTTCTTTTTCATTTTTTAATAATAATAATAATAATAATAATAATAATAATAATAATAATAATAATAATAATAATAATAATAATAATAATAATAATAATAATAATAATAATAATTCTTTATTGGATCTGATCTTATCTGATCTGATCTGATTGGATTTGATCTGATCTTGTCTGATCTGATCTGGTCTGATCTGATTTGAATTGATTCGATCTAATTTTAATAAGAATAAGAAAAAATAAGAAAAAATAAGTTGAACGGAATTGGACCTAAAGCTTCTCTTCACGGATCTTTGTGGGGACTAAAGCTTGGGCCCTTATCAAATGCTGTATTCGACAAGAAAAAAGCCCAAAGTAAAACTATACACATTAGTAAAAATCCCATTTCAGATGTAATTGGGCTTTGTGAAAAAAGGACTGTTTTGCAGCCGAATAAGAAGATTTTTATTACATCATGAAAAGATTCATTTCCAGATCTTCTTCTTCTTCTTCTTCTTCTTCTCCCATTCGCCGTCGTCTATTCTCATTCAGAAGGAAGACCTCTCACTTCACCTATACAGTTTAAACTTTATACCCCGAGTTATTTGTTTACAGTTTTAAATCTCAACCGTAAAAAATGGTGCAAGAAAAGAGGAAAAGAGGCCGGAAACCTAAAAATGCGACAATGGAATTCTCCGGCAACGGCGACACTTCCATGGTCGCGACCGAGGAACCGTTGTCGACGGTGATCCCCGAGAGCGACAACAATGACCCCCCTACACAACGCCGCGGGCGCGGACGCCCGAAGAAAGCAGGGAAACCGGAGGAAGACATCGACCGAGGGATCGCGGCTTCGCCGGAGAGACGAGGCCATTGTGCGACGGACGTTAATGGAGAATTGCCGTTGTTGAATGGGGAATTGCGTCGCCCTGCGGAACTGCTGGCGGCTGCTGCAGCCAAGGCGGCCCCTTGGATGGACGCGGTGGTGAAGGTCTTCTGCGTTCACACGGAGCCCAATTTTTCGCTGCCTTGGCAGAGAAAGAGGCAGTACAGCTCTAACAGCACAGGTTTCATCATCGGAGGAAGGAGAGTGTTGACGAATGCCCACTCAGTGGAGCATCACACTCAAGTCAAGCTCAAGAAACGCGGCTCAGATAGCAAATACCTGGCCACTGTGCTAGCTATTGGGACCGAGTGCGACATAGGTAGTTCTTCCCTTCTTGTTTGCCAAGATTAGTAACTTCTATTCGCTTTTAATTCATATGCCATTGCATGTTTCTTCCCTTCTTGTTTGCCAAAATTGATGCGGCTATTACGTTTTAGATTGATTAATGTAATGAGGATGAAGTTCTTGTTTTAATTGAGCCTTAGAGAACATTTAACTCTTTTTAGAGAGTTTAGATTGAATGTAATTTATGGTCTTGAAACAGCTTTGTTAGCTGTGGATGATGATGAGTTTTGGGAGGGAGTAACCCCAGTAGAATTTGGAGAACTGCCTGCACTGCAAGATGCTGTAACTGTTGTTGGCTATCCTATTGGAGGAGACACTATATCCGTGACTTGTGGTGTTGTCTCACGCATGGAGATACTTTCTTATGTTCACGGATCAACTGAGCTTCTTGGGCTTCAGGTTTTGTTTTCAATTTTTTTTCCACTCCTGGGAAATATTATGTGTTTTTTGGGGTAAATATTATGTGTATTGTTTAGTAATGCTGCGAGACTGTGTTACAGATAGATGCTGCGATTAACTCAGGAAATTCTGGTGGACCTGCCTTTAATAGTAATGGAAAATGTGTGGGCATTGCATTTCAATCACTCAAACATGAAGATGCAGAGAACATTGGCTATGTCATACCAACACCTGTGATCATGCATTTTATTCTTGATTATGAGAAGAATGGAGCTTACACAGGTAGGTAGATGGTCTCAAATGTTGAACCCTAAGGACCAACATTTGGTTTTTTGATGGACACGTTGTTGAGTGTCTTCGTGTTTTCTCTGTTGTGTTCATCATTCCAGGGTTTCCAGTCTTAGGTATTGAGTGGCAGAAAATGGAGAACCCCGACCTACGAATGTCAGTTGGTATGGGACCTAATCAGAAGGGTGTCCGTATTCGAAGAGTGGAGCCTACAGCTTCAGAATCTAATTTCTTAAATCCATCCGATGTTCTTCTTAGCTTTGATGGGGTTGATATTGCCAATGATGGAACAGGTCTGTACTCTATAACTTTCTTCTTTGAATCAATACCTTAGTTAAAAAAATACCTCAACCAGTTCAATACTGTAAACTTTATATCCAAAATATGTTTAACTTTTTTTTCCTTCACTTCTTCTATCTGTTCCATTTCATTTTCATGATAAATTTCTGTGAAAACATTGAGAATTTGAATTTGTGACATGTTCAAAAATATGCTTTTGTTTTCCTCTTCCAGTTCCTTTCAGGCATGGAGAGCGCATTGGATTTAGTTATCTGATATCACAAAAATATACGGGAGATTCTACTAAAGTCAAAGTTCTCCGAAACTCCAAGACACTCACGTTTAACATAAGATTGGACACTTACAAAAGACTAATTCCAGCACACATTAAGGGAAAACCTCCGTCTTATTACATAGTTGGTGGATTTGTTTTCTCTGCTGTTTCGGTTCCATACCTACGCTCAGAGGTGTGTAATTAATATTGCATAACCCTATAGCTGTGTGCTGCATTGAATGTTAGAAGATTTACTTGATTACATGTCATAATGATGTGCTTTTAATTGCAGTATGGAAAAGATTATGAGTTTGATGCTCCTGTTAAACTGTTGGACAAACTTGCGCATGCAATGGCACAATCTATTGATGAGCAACTTGTTGTTGTGTCTCAGGTCTGTCATCAAATCAGTTAGTTAAGACTCGAGAACATTTGGTGTTTTAACCTCTGTACAAATTAGAAGTAGGAATTGTTTTAAGGTTCTGTATGAAATTTATTTTAGGTGCTTGTGGCTGACATCAATATTGGATATGAGGACATCGTAAATACACAGGTGAGATGAAAATTATCTGATGAATGCAGTGCTTATAATCATAGTACAATCTTAGAGCTTTAGTTATGTCTATGGTGCCAAAGAGGCATATTTGTATTGCAAAATTCTTAATCTGATTCAATTCATATAGGTCATTGCATTCAACGGCAAGCCAGTGAAAAATTTGAAGAGCTTAGCAAACATGGTGGAGGCTTGTGAAGAAGAGTACTTAACATTTCATTTGGATTATGATCAGGTATTCTCTTTTTTTTTACCATGTTTTATTTTCTTCTGGTCTCTCATCTTACGATTTGTATTGAATGTTTGGTTTAGGTTGTAGTCCTGAAGACAAGCACCGCCAAAGCTGCCACATCAGACATTCTTGCAATGCATTGCATACCTTCGGCCATGTCTGATGATCTGAAGACATGAAAAGCAGTTCAATAGGTAAACTCTGCTTAGTAGCGCTTAGTGCTTGATGCCTAAAGGGGAAGATATTGTTTTTTTTTTTGCTAGAAAATGGATGCCTAAAGGGGAAGATATTGTGTTTTTTTCTAGAGGATGTAGTAATATGAACAGAGAGCCAAGGTAGCACATCCGGCACCTTCTCCCTTCTTGCACCCAATTTGATTAACTACTTTAATACATATCTTAGTTCCTAAGTGCACATGTTTCAGTTCTTGCAGTGCTTTCACGATGCATAGATATTTTACATCACACAATTGACCAAACTACACACTTTTATCTATCGGATGACTCGTTTAGCATGTCTTCACATTTACGACCTTGTAACAAGGGTAACTTTTCAGCAGTCAAGGACTCCAAATCACTAGCTTTAAGGTTGTCATCCTTCTCCTTGGCTTTTCCCCACATCACGGTGTAAAACCCAATGGCTATGATTGTTGATCCAATGATGCTACAAATAGGAGAGAAAGGAGGGGAAAATGTATCATACTCTACTAAGAGTAAGACAATTGAAGTGGATGAGAGAATATGATAATAATAATAATACCTTCCCAAGTAGAGAGTATCACCCAGGATGACAACTCCCATGGCCACGGCTATGGCGATGGACAGTGGCTTGAACATTGCTACATAGACTGGTCCCTTCACTCTTAGTGCCCAGGTGTGGATGGTATTGTTCACAAAAGACCCAAAGATCCCCTATTCAATACCATCATACGTTGTGAGTCCTATCTTAGATTTCATCACAGGAACGAGGCACCAAAGTCTAGGGATGTGCATTTTGGTTTTGGTTTGGTTTAAAATGGTATGGGAAAAATATTTACTAACTAAAACCAAACTACGTATGGATTATATTTTGGTTCGGTTAAAAACCAAACCAAAATGTCACCCTTACTAAATCCCATGCACGATTCTATCACTTACTGAGCATATGATAGAGGCAAGTGAGATATCCAGTCTAATCTTCCATTTGGTCAGGTCTGGTACCATGAATGCGCCCACAATCGCAGCAAGTACACTCACAATTAAGTTGTAGAAGAAAACCACAGTTAGTTCTGCTGGATATACCTTCATGATTTGTGTCTGTACATATAAGATATAGCATTAGATTTTCACACAAAGTAGTGGACGTTTGGTTCACAAAATGTAAGATTACCTGGACTATGTACCACATTGGGACCAAAAGATACTCAGTTGTAAGAAAAAGTCCTCCCAACATCCAGTTTGACTGTGTCGAGCTTAAAAACCCAATGACATTAGAAGTTGTATGGGGTGAAGTAGTAGTAGTAACAGCAATTCTAGGACCCTTATACAGTGTCACTACGAAAGCTCCCGTTACTGACACTATAGTGCCCATCACTTTGGCCCTGCTTGTAGGACTTCTTAACACCAGTGTCTCCATCCTACAATATAACAGAAGTTAGTGGATATGTGAACCTTGAAAATGAAACCTTAAATATAGAGTTGGACTTGGGAAGCTACCTGAAAAAGAGTGCAAGAATGAATGTAAAGGCAGGGACAAGGTTGCTTATTGCAGAAGCTAGAGTTGGTGAGCTGTAGCTTATTCCAGCATAACCCATCACCTGTGATGCGCATCTGTCCTTCCCATCCACACCCCAATAAGAAAACAGAAAAAGCCCAAGCTAGTTTATGCATAAAGCTGTTAGTTTCTAGTAGCTTGTGGGTAAAAGGGGAGTCTTGAGTTCATTACCCGATGACGCCGAGGAGGAGAATCTTGAGGGCGACGGAGCAGTTGAGTGGCGGAAGCACTCTTGATCTGCATCCATGGAGTATTAGTTTTACTTTTCAATTATTATTATCTTCATTCATAGATGATAGTAAAGAAAAAACTCTGAAAAACATACCTGGTGGAGAAGAAGGGGGATGGGAGGAGACAGATGGCGGCAACGCCATAAGCGTAGACGACGAAGACATGGTTACTCATGCCTTGGTTTGTAGCCGCTTTGAACAGTGTGTTCAGCCCCACATTTATGCACTCCATCACCACCAAAGCCGCAAACGGCAACACCTCGTTGTACACCGTGGTGGCGTACCTTCCTCCTGCTGCCGCCGACATTTCCGTTCAGTTGTTCAGGTGCAGTATAGAAATAGCTTCACACTTCACCAGAGCACACAGCCTATGTAGTAGAGAGTCAAACCAAAAAACAAAAGGATATGTGCCTCATATTCACTTCTTAGGCCTCTTTTAAAGGCATCATGAATCATTCATTCTATCTAGTGTTGCGTACAAATGATTATTTGGGTTTCATATCAGTTGTGGGTTTTTAGCCATCCCCTTATTATATGCACACTTTTCGTTTTAGTCCTTGTACGTTTTTTTTGTTATTGCAAAACAATCCTTGTAATACGGAATATTTTGTTTTCATGTCCCATACGTAACTATTTTGTTAGATGCTGTGGTGTGTTCATCACAACCTCCCTATTTAGTTTTCTTGTCCGTCTCGGGCCCATATCAAAATAAAGTTCACTTTTTCTTTGCCAAAAAATAAAATGTTTGCTTTTTTTTTGTTTGTTCCAATGTTAGTTCAATTTATTTCATTTTTTGATGAAGAGAGTAGTACTACTTTTGTCTCTGAGTATTTGTCTGGTTTTGAATTTTTGCATTTAAAATTGGCAAACATTGAATGTTAATAAATTTATTTCATTTTAGATATGTAAAATTTGCACTAAATAGGACTAAAACATAATGATTTTCTTAATGTAGGATTTAAACTTTTTTATTCTCTAAATAAGACTTAATAATGACCTAGTGGGATGAATAATGTCCAATAATTATGGACATTTACTTGAATAATGACTATTTGATAATGACCAAAGGTCTTACATTGGGAAATAAAAACATATGGTCTTATATTGGAAAAGTTATTATGTTTTAGTCCTATTTAGGTAAATTTCTTTTTAGATATTGATACAAAATATTTTTAAAATATTATTTTATCTAATTATTATAGTATATAATTTTTATTTAATTATAAGTCAAAGATTGAATGTGATTGTGGGTAAGAAATTAAAATTGAGCAAAGATTTAGGGAGGGAGGTATTAATAGAGTGTATTAATAGAGGGTGTTTTGTCAACATTCTAACAAGGACTGATGTGACACTCTTTTTGTTAGTGCCGTTGTTATTATCTTTATTTCTCTGCTATTGACTTTTATTAAGGCATCAATTTGCCTTTGTGTATGATTATGGTTTTGGTGGATTGAACATTTTAGGGTTCAAATTAATCAGCTCTATTTTGGTTGCTCATGGAAATTAAAGCCAATGTAAAGATCAATTCATTTTGAGCCTATTTAGAATTAGCATTAGAGATTAGCGTTTTGAAAAAAAAACTATCTACGAGGAACTTTTAGTGTTTGCGCTTTCAAAGTAATCTGCACTGTTAATTTTGTCCAAACGCTGGCGTTAATTTCATACGCTATTCCTTAACAGACCTTTTAAGGTAGCACATCCGGCACCTTCTCCCTTCTTGCACCCAATTTGATTAACTACTTTAATACATATCTTAGTTCCTAAGTGCACATGTTTCAGTTCTCGCAGCGCTTTCACGATGCATAGATATTTTACATTACACAGTTGACCAAACTACACACTTTTATCTATCCCATGACTCGTTTGGCATGTCTTCACATTTACGACCTTGTAACAAGGGTAACTTTTCAGACGTCGAGGACTCCAAGTCACTAGCTTTAAGGTTGTCATCCTTCTCCTTGGCTTTTCCCCACATCACAGTGTAAAACCCAATGGCTAAAATTGTTGATCCAATGATGCTACAAATAGGAGAGAGAGGAGGGGAAAGTGTATTGTAGACCGCTAAAAGTGAGACAATTGAAGTGGATGAGTGAATATGATAATAATACCTTCCCAAGTAGAGAGTATCACCCAGGATGACAACTCCCATGGCCACGGCTATGCCGATTACAGTGGCTTGAACATTGCCACATAGACTGGTCCCTTCACTCTTAGTGCCCAGGCAAGTGAGATATCCAGTCTAATCTTCCATTTGGTCGGGTCTGGTACCATGAAAGCGCCCACAATCGCAGCAAGTACACTCACGACTATATTGTAGAAGAAAACCACTGTTAGTTCTGCTGGATATTCCTTCATGATCTGTGTCTGTACATATAAGATACAGCATTAGATTTCCACACAAAGTAGTGGGTGTTTGGTTCACAAAATGTGAGATCACCTGAACTATGTACCACATTGGGACCAAAAGATACTCAGTTGTAAGAAGAAGTCCGCCCAACATCCAGCTTGACTGTGTCGAGCTTAGAAACCGAATGGCATCAGAAGTTGCATGGGGTAAAGTAGTAGTAGTAGTAGTAGTAGTAGTAGTAACTGCTATTCTAGGACCCTTATAGAGTGTCACTACGAAAGCTCCCGTTACCGACACTATAGTGCCCATCACTTTGGCCCTGCTTGTAGGACTTCTTAACACCAGTGTCTCCATCCTACAATATAACAGAAGTTAGTGGATATGTGAACCTTGAAAATGAAACCTTAAATGTAAAGGTACCTGAAAAAGAGTGCAAGAATGAATGTGAAGGCAGGGACAAGGTTGCTTATTGCAGAAGCTAGAGTTGGTGAGCTGTAGCTTATTCCTGCATACCCCAACACCTGTGCTGCGCATCTGTCCTTCCCATCCACACCCCCCAAAAAAGAAGAAAAAGCCCAAGCTAGTTTATGCATAAAGCTGTTAGTTTCTAGTAGCTTGTGGGTAAAAAGGGTGTCTCGAGTTCATTACCCGAGGACGCCGAGGAGGAGAATCTTGAGGGCGATGGAGCCGTTGAGCGGAGGGAGCACTCTTGATCTGCATCCCATGGAGTATTAGTTACCTACTGGTTTTACTTTTCAATTATATTATTGTTCATAGATTATAGTAAAAAAAAACACTCCATAAAAAACAACATACCTGGTGGAGAAGAAGGGGGAGGGGAGGAGACATATGGCGGCAACGCCATAAGCGTAGACGACGAAGACATGGTTACTCATGCCTTGGTTTGTCGCCGCTTTGAACAGTGTGTTCAGCCCCACATTTATGCACTCCATCACCACCAAAGCCGCAAATGGCAACACCTCGTTGTACACCGTGGTGGCGTACCTTCCTCCTCCTGCCGCCTCCGCCGCCGACATTTCCGGTCAGTTGTTCAGGTGCAGTATAGATATCTAGAGCAAACAGCCTATGATTATTTGGGTACAAATGATTATTTGGGTTTCATATCAGTTGTGGGTTTTTAGCCATCCCCTTATTATATGCACACGTTTCGTTTTAGTCCTTGTACGTTTTTTTTTGTTATTGCAAAACATTCTTGTGATACGGAATATTTTGTTTTCTTGTCCGTCTCGGGTCCATATCAAAATAAACTTCACTATCTCTTTGCCTAACAATAAAATTTTCAATTTCTTGTATGTCTCAAAATAATTTTTATGTTTTCATCAATTTTCTTTTGAAGAAAAGATTGTGTAGTTCAATTTGTCTCATTTTTCATGAAGAGAGAAACTGTAGGGAGTAATATTTTTGTCTCTGACAAACACGAGATGTTAATTGAATAAAATTGATATTTCGTATTCGATATTAATACAAAATAATTTTATTAGATTTATTTTATACGAAGCAAAATTTTTTAGAATATTATTTTTTCTAATTATTATAGTATGTAGTGAGCAAATATCTAGGAAGGTATTAATAGTGTATGAGAGCTTGTTTTGTCAACATTCTAAGGACGACAAATGTGACACTCTTTTTGTTAGTGACGTTGTTATTATCTTTACTTCTCTACTATTGACTTTTATTAAGGCATCAATTTTTTTTTGATCAACAAGGAGGGGGAGACCCCGAGCTAGTAGCCTCGTGAAGTGGTGGTAGTGTGTCGCATGGTAGTGACCCTCATCATATCGCCAGTGCTCAAGGTTTCCAAATCTGCAGTAGGAACCTCAAACGTTCTCCATGAAATGTCTTGAAAAGCCCCAAGGTTAACAAGACGATCCGCAACCTTATTTTGTTCACGCAAGATGGCTCTAAAGCTGATTTTATGGAATCTGTCAGTCCAAATTTTTATTGCTACAATGGTATCGCTGATGGGTCCCCTCAAACTCGTCGATCTTGTAATCCAATTGACAACTTCTCTAGCGTCAGACTGCACCTCAAGATCTCTCACCCCTCTACCCCATGCCCATTGAATGCCTTTCTCAATGGCTTTAGCCTCGATTTTCTCGATGTTATTTGGTCTAGTTCTATGGAAAAACCACCAAGCCATTCTCCGTTATTGTTGCGAATGACTCCGCCGCACCCCGCCCTGTTTGCCATAACTTTATTGCTTCCATCAACATTAAGAGTGAATTCATGATCAACTGCCGGATTCCATTTTAGTAGATCTCTTGTATTCATCAAAGAGGGGGTTGATACCTGATTTTTGCCGAATGCCCTTTCAATCTCTATGATTGATCCCTTAATCCAAGCCACTTTATACTTGGTGTCAACTGTCAAGATCATCACCACCGATGGCAACGCTGTTTTGCCACCTCCAAGCCACTTTATACTTTGTGTATGATTATGGTTTTGGTGGATTGAACATTTTAGGGTTCAAATTAAACAGCTCTACTTTGGTTGGTCATGGAAAGCCAATGTTAAGATCAATTCATTTTGAACCTTTTTGGGAATAGCGTTAGTGTTTTGAAAAAAAGCTATCTACGAATAACATTTAATGTCAGTGCTTTAAAGCAATCTGCACCGTTAATAATTTTGTTCAAAACGCTAACGCTAATTTTTATCGTTATTCTCAAAAATGCCCTTTACTTTCTCTTGTGGTTAAAAATAAAGTTTGCAAAATCCGCTTTTAGTAGTTTTAAAAAGTCAACGAAACTAAAGAGTGTTTAGTTTGAAATAGAATTTGTAAAATGAGGGAATGCAACAAGGCATTGATGGTCGATGGCTGATGACGACATTATGCTTTAATTATTTGGTGCCTACGCCACTTTGTTTGGAAAGTGGAGGTTGATTTGAATAATTAGTTGAATTATTTGTTTTTGGTTATTAAGGAGTGGTATATTTGTTGTTGAAGAAAAAAATATTTATATATAGTTATTATAGAGAGTATATCGAACTATTGGTTGTTTGGCTCATTTTTTTAAGGGTTGGTTTTTAGTCCTTTTTTCATTTGTATTCAGTTTGTTTAGACTTTAGAGTAATAAAAAAATATGAATATAAATTGCAATGTCGAATATGTGCAAAAAAAAAAAAGATACTCCGCATATATTTAAAACAACAATAATAGCACAATATTTCGTGAAAAAGTATTTAAAAGAAAATGAACTAAGACTCCTAAGAGTAAAAGAATGGAATTGAAATTGTTCAGTTTAGTTATTTTTAAGATAGGATCTAAAACTTTTCAATTCTAAGGGTGAACTTGTGTTTGATAAAAATGACTTATTATTATGTTCTAAATAATTTGTTTACTCTGAAAAGAGGGAAATTGTATTTTAATCATAAATTAGTGACAAAGAGTGAAAACTGGATCTAGTACTTGCAAAATTTCTAAGCTTAGCATAGTTGCCTTCTATGCAATTGTCAAAAATCAACCTCGAATATTATTATCTCCTGGGTACCCATTGCCTTCCAATTGCGCAACATCCTAGAAGAACATTAATACGGAGTAGTATGGTATAAGAAAAAGAAGTGAAACAAAAGGGGGACATGCCCACGTTGATACCGGGGCTCTTCTGCAGTATTTAAGTGCTACGTTAAATAGTTGCCTTCACAGATTTAACATTTTTGTAACGTCAAATGTCATCATGTATCACTCAATCCCCACATTTTAGCCGTATTCATTTCTGAGCAAAACTTAATCGTTGCCCATTTTTTTGGGAACTATTTTGTCTCGATTTTCTTTTCTTTTTTTTCCTACAGAAGTTTTAATTTCCAACATTCCAAATGATATAAGGAACAAACTTCTAATTGAAAGAGCATACTCCGGATTTTAACTTTGAACGGCTTTGTGATGGGACTTTAAGAATAATATTGGTATTAATTTTAGTAAAAAACATATCATGTACTTCACGCTTGTTTGGAAACAACATTTGTAACTAACGTTAACATTCGGAATAATTTTTTTAATGGTGCTTATTAATTTTATAAAGCAAATGTTGAAAATTAGTACTCCATATCAAATAGCTTTTTCAAAATGCCCAAGCTAGACGCTTGAATAATTAAAACCAAAGTGCCGAGCACTCAAGCAGAGCCTTAATCTCACAAAACTAATGACAAAAAACACCAAAGGTGAAGTTAATTCCACCAATAATTACAAAATTACATCAACATTATTGTTGTAAAAAACAATCGGAGACTATACACAACCTTTGCATCATATTATTAAGCTTATACTATAAAAGTATAATATGAATGTATTATTCGTCCCTCCATTAATTTGTCAAGCATCAAAAGCTATTTCACTTCAACAAAGGGACTTTATTCATTGATGATTCGGATCCATGTTCGTCATCAATGTCTTCGAGCGCGAGTACAGCCTTCTCTTTCGCTTGTCCCCACAGCACGGTATAAAACCCAGCGGAACTGACAATCGCTCCGACCACACTTCACAACATTGTACATAAACTATTAAGATTTCAGGTTCATCCTAAAAAACTCAATCTAGCTAGTTGAACGAGTAACACAAATGACACTTATGTGCCTGAAGTTTGTTGGAAGATAAACCATAACATACCTTCCCAAATGGAGAGAAGAGCCGAGGAAAAGGATCTCCATGATCGCTGCGATAATAACTCCCACGGGCTTGAACGTGGCCACATAGAGAGGACCCTTCTTCTCCAAGCACCAACTTATCACATTCGCTCTAAACACGGTCCCAAACACAGCCTACACGCAACAATATACGGAGTATATGTATTTGTTCATAAAATATTCTTTAGTTCATCAGTTCTGTTACAGTAAAAAAAAATTCCTGGACTTTGATTCTTCCCATTCGACTTTTCATGGGAAGAATATTCTTTGGTTCAGGCAGGTTGGTTTTGAAAAAGTTCCTATTTTATTACTTTGTATCTCTCTAGAAGCTGGGGGGGGGGAATCCTTACTGAGAAGATGATGGCTATAATTCCAATGCTAGGAAGCATCACCCATGCATCAATGCTTCTTTCTGATATTGCACCATAAATGACACATTGAATGGTTCCAAAGAGACAAAAGAAGAACACTACTGTGGGTTGCTCCGGATACCCCTTCAAAGTAGCGGTCTGCACACGTAAAATTTAGCTCATTCAACTATTAAACACAACGATATAATCGAGAACTTGAAATATAATGAATTTTGTTTTCTAATCCGAGGTATTAGTCATCAATGCTTGACGTTACCTGAAGAATATTCCATCCAGATGACAAAAGGCAAGTGAAGGTAAAGAGGAAGCCTCCAAAGACCCAAGTTGAGTTTTGTGACAATAGATATGGGTCCGGTGAGGAATGAGAAGAAGAAGAAGTTGCAGAACCAAAGAGCTTTGGCCCCTGATACAGAGTCATCACCATTGCTCCTGTGATTGCTACTACTGTACCCAATGATTTTGCCTGACTTGTAACTTCTCTTAAATCCAACCTCTCCATCCTACAGGTAAAGCTCTTCTAGTTCAGTGAAAAAATTGAACAGCCAGGAGCACGTATTGAAACTAGATCGGATTTCATACGAAGTGGCACACGTTTGTATGGAAGCTTGTTCGGAGTAAATCAATCTTGAAGTCGGTGAGTTTAATTTTTTCCCTATTCAAGTTTAGTGAAATCCAAACACTTACATTCCCTTTGAGATTTTCAGAAATGTGTTAGGAAAATCAATTACATTTATGTAACTAAACACCTGGAGTAGTTTAAGAGCATTACACATTGAACAAAAAAATGAAGAGTGTCATATTTTTCCCTTCTCCTACCTGAAAATGACTGCAAGAAGAAAGGTAAATCCAGGCATCAAGTTTCCGATTCCGGCAGCCAGTGTTGCAGAGCTGTACTTTATCCCGGTGTAAGCAAGGATCTGCAGCAAACAAATCCTGCACTAAATTTCATTCTCCAGATAAATAAGAATCAATCTCCGATCTACAAATCAGAGGAATAATCAAACGATCCGTAATACCCTAGCAAGCCGAGGATGAAGCATCTACCGAGAATAGAGAAGGTGATCGGAAGAGGTCGACTTCTGAAATTGAAATCAAATCGTCAAAAATCCAAGTCGATCAAAACTAAAAAAGCAAGCATAAACAGATGATTACCTGCGAGTCCGGAAGAAGAGGAAGTAGGGGAGGAGGATGAGAGTGCCGAGGGAGTTGTAGTAGACGATGTAAACTAGGGTTTTCAAGCCTCCATTCATGGCGGCTTTACCGAGAATCGTAAGCGACATCTCGCAGGTCTCCACCATCAGCATTGTTGCGAAGGGAAGCCCTTCCTTCTTCATAAACTGGGCCGCCATTGCACCTGAGCCTGCAAGCTCTGCCCAGAACCATTCATTCCCAATTCATAATATAGTGCTATTGACAAGAAAGGGTGATTTGTTTTGGGGCGATATTTGGCAGGAGAAAGCATGATTATGGTGAATTGTACACAATCATTCATTGATTGGCTGTTACCACTCTAATTTGGGATTTGGATTAGGTAAGTTAGTTCATTGTCGCGCTCAAATTTTTAAAAAGTTGGTTTTCTTAAACAAGCTTAAAAAATGCTCACAAAGAGAGATTAAAATGTCACTCAACTAATTTTTTCCGTCAGTCCTTTCTTTTTTTAGTTAATGCCAATTGTTACAAAGAGATGTTTAAAAATTACTAAGTAACTTTACTCAATGCTCTTTTCATTCATTCTTCACACGATTAAACTTTATTTATATAGTTTGTTTAATTTCACTATTCATTTCATAATATAATATGATTATGTCACTTCTTGTGTTGTAAAACTTTTTTATGTACTTTTTGAATATATAATTTTTATTTTTAAATTTTTACATGTATAATTAAATAAATTGAAATGAATATAATTCAGTTAAATCTCGTAATGCGGAGTGGGAAGTATAATTCCAAGCAAAAGGAGTATTATTTTGACAAAATGTCACTCCTTTTTATATCTATATAGTTCCTCAGTCCAAAAATGATTTTAAATATCAACTTTGGGTGTTCAAAAAGAATCTTATTTTAGTTCTATTTTTTGTTCAATTTTTCCGGTCCTATCAACTAACAAAAACTTTATTTATAAAAAATCAATATTTAAAAACATAATTTTGGAATATATGGTATATTTTCATTTATCATTAATTTTTATCATGAAACGACAAACTGGCTCGCAATTCAATCATGAAAGTTAGATTGTCACAAATTTTATCAATTAAATTTTTTCCAAATTTAAAAATTGTAAAAAATATACATGTCTCTGTTCGTATCTAAGAACAATAAATAGTAAGTTGTGATTTAAGTAGGTCGCAAAGGAATGTAGGTTGCACTAACCATTAAAGGAATAAAATTCACCCCGTGAGTTAACATTTTCTATAATGTTGTGTGAAATTTAATTGTTTTCCTTAAATGCAATATATAAAATAGTAAAAAGTGAAAATGTATTTAACTCCCTCCATCTGCAATTAATTTACACACTTCACTATTTAGGGTCAAAGATTAATTAATTTATTTCATTGCACATTTAATAAAATAAATGTCACACATGCATGTGTTCCTAATGCTAGACTGTTTGTGCATGTGTTCATTGATTTCTGGTTCTTTTCATCCATAAGAATAAGCTCCGAAAAAAAAGATCTGCAGTATTACTCTCTACACCAAATAGGAAAAAACAGAGAAGCAACAAAAAAAACATTTTTCAATAATTCCCGACTCAATATCAGAACATCAAACTGCAAGTAATAACCACCAAAACAATCATAAATCAACATTTATACGTATATAAAAAACGGCGGAAGGAAGAACATCAAACCTTCTTTCTTTTCCTTCTTAAGTTCGGCATTGCACGAAGAGATCTTACAGACCCACCAGATGTTAAAGCATCTTCCATACTGATTTCCTGAGAATTTACTGCCACAAGGCCATCTTCATTCTCAGTTTCCGAAGCACGCATCATTATCTCTTCTTCCCTTGATCTGCTGGCAACCGATTGATCTATTAGACCTATTTCAATATCTTCGTCTTCATTATGAGCCTGGTGGGAAAAACCAGAGTTCTCCAGTCTATTTGTGTCATCATCCCCAGATTCTGGGTTTGTATCATCAGCTTCTTCCTCCAAACAAAACCCACCCCCCAACTTAAGGTAATCTTTGGATGATTGATCCCCAGGATTGTTATTATCATCATGAGCCATTTGAACAGTGTCTGATTCTTTTTCTGTCCCGTCCAACGTCTCTCTTTCTGTTGGCTCCTTTGCAACTTTGTTATACTCATCATCTTCTAGATCATCAGCATAACTCACAATTTTCCGTGGCCTCCCTGACTGCCAGATTATGAAAATCGGATAAAAACAGGGAGTATATATATTTAAACAGCTCCAAGGTTACAATAAATGGAATGACGACAGTAGAACAATGTCAGAAAAGAAGCGGTACATGATAAGAGATCCAAATTGCGTGCAGTACGAATACAAGTAAAAGGTTCCTCAACAAAAAGGTCATGTTCCGAACACTTTTTCAACAGAAAAAAGTGCTATTGGATCAAGCAATACAATTTTTTCATGCAATTTGCCAAAAAAAAAAATAATCCAAAAGAGGGTTGCGGAAGTGTTAGAAAAGATAAATTTAGTTGAGCCAACAAATAAATTTGAAATTTATAAACAGTACTCTATATAAATCATGATTTATGGCATTGTTGCAACAAAATTTGAAATTCTACTATAGTGAAATGAGAATCTTTTTTTCTTTTCTTCTTTTTTTGGAGGGTGAAGGGGATAAGAGCGGAGGAATACATGGTAATAACAGTGTAAAACGCACCCTTCTTGTGTGTGATGCTTCAACCTTCTCAATATCAATCTCTTGCTCCCCATCACTGCTAGTTTCATCAGCAGAACTGGTTTCTTTAGATCTCGAACAAGAACTCTTACTCTTCCGTCCCTTCTGAAGAGAGAGACTTCTCTTGCCTCGTTTGAGTCTTTGCCTAGCATTTGATTCTTCACTGCCTCCCGATCTTCTAGCTGCCCCTTCACTCTGTAAAAGATCTCCCTTCCTTTTTCTTGGCTTCTTTGCAGATGAATTTTTTGCATTCTTAATCTCATCATCACCTGAATCTGCTCCCATCGAACCACTTTCTAATATAGTCCTCTTCTCATTAACATTAGGTTTCACTTTTTGCTTCCTTCTCCTTGCAGGTGTATCTTCTGCAGCATCATCAAACAATTCCAATGAGTGGTTGCCTGTCATACCCTTCACTGCCTTCTTTATCCTTGCACTGCGTATTTTTGCAAATCTTTCATTGAAAGCATAGAATGCTTCCAAGCGAAGTTGTGTCTATAAAGAATTCAAAGCAAATATTATGTCAGTGCTGCTTCTCTTTACTTGACTCCAAAAAGAATGCATCAAAATAACACAGCTTCGAATCCATCATGGAAAGTGCATAAGTTGTACTCCGTATTTTTATTATTAAAATACTAGTATTCTACTTGTTGTTTTAAAATTATTTCCTTTGTGATTGATGTAGCAATGCGTACAAATTATACTTTCAATAAGAGTGGTGTGTTGATTATTCACTAGTGGAGAACAATTATAGCACGCTTTTTAAGTTAGGCACCTCCAAGTGAAGTCCAAATTTATTCGGGAAAGAAGGGCAAATCTGTTTAGGGCAATTATAACATGAGATGGCATAGTACTAAAGTAGAGCAAATAGATTAACCTCATGTTTATTGTACTCCCTCAGTACAGGTGTTATCAACTCATCTGTCTTCTGGATGGTCCATCCAAACTTCTCCCAACATAACCTACGTGTTCTCAATTCAGAGCAAGAAAGAGAAGCCATTAAGTGAATGAAATTAAGCACACAATTCAACAGCAATTTAAGAGAAGTACGTAACCAAGTTTGTAATTGGATAGATATTTGAGTTCATTGAGGGTGTCTTCAATGTTGTAGACCTGTAGGCATGTTAGAACTTTTGCAACAAAAAAAAAGATTTTGACGCTTGTAGTGGTTCACTCTAAGCACGTAAGAAAGCAAGGAAAATTTGGATTCATCCCTATGTAGAACTTAATGGTCAATTTGGATGGAAGTTTTTGGAGGAATCGGAGGGAAGGGTTTTGGAGGGCCAACTGGTGAAGTCTATATCTTTAGGCACACACACATTTGCCACTTTATAAAATAGAAACATTCACATAACATGTGATTGTGTAACACTTCAATCACCTTTTATCTGCTTTCAGAAACATTCAATTTATCATGATATAAACTTAACCCTCCAAAGCTTTTTGCCTCTCAACCCCTCCAGAATCCTCCATCCAAATAGACCCTAAATATTATACAGCCACATATAACTCACTTGCGAAGTACAGATACATCTGGTTTTCCCCAAGAGAAGACCTCTTTAGACCTATCAACTTGTGGAGTGTCATAAGCTGAAACTACGGCATCACTTGGAAAAGATGAGGGAATGTGCCAATTCTTGCTAACATTTCTCTGTAAATAAAAGGGTTCAAAGAAAGAGAGAGAACAAAGTGACTTCTATTTGCCAGTTACACAGTACACTAACTGATTATAAAATAAAGCACAATGTGGAACACTATCTCACATGTTTATTCATGAAAGTCTGCTTTATCTTTTCACCATCAACAGGCTGCAGAATATTGCTAGAGCTGTATCCTCCTTGGACATCAACCTTATTTAAAATGGTAGGATCAGGAGACTCAACCCACTCCCGAAACTTCCGAAGACCATCTTCCCCGGGAAATGCATTTACAACCTCAATAGCATTGACAATACCAATCCCACTGTACCATAAATGGAAGAGAAGGTGAGGATTTTACAGGACGCGTGAAAATAATGCATTATCATGGAACCTTATTAGCAAAGAGAAATTACAAGTACAAGCGCATGACATGATCGGAGTGGAGAAACAGTAGGAATGGGATATTTAAGTAACAGCGTGGAGGGCTTTGAAATGGAAGTGGAGACACTGTAGAAAGGTGTTACCTCACACCTTCAGTATAGTCACTTCCAAGCAGCAAAGCCATACGGATTAATTTCTCTCGATCTAATCCAAGCTCATTTTCGATGTCCTGTAAAACAGAAAATGTTAAAGCAACTCTCTTACAAGCAAAACAGAAAGATAAACTTAACCAAATTGTCAAAGAACCAACTCAACCAAAAGCTCAAGCTTGTGGTTGTGGCCCAAGAACAGTTATTTATATTCTAACACGCCCCCTCACGTGCAGGCGTAGTCTTTTTCGAGCCTTGCATGTGAAACCTTAATTTTTTTAAACTGGGTGGCGCTGAGTTTCGAACCTGTGACCTCTTAGTCAACGAGGCTCCGATACCATGTCAAAGAACCAACTCAACCAAAAGCTCAAGCTTGTGGTTGTGGCCCAGGAACAGTTATTTATATTCTAACACAAATTAACAATTTCAAAAAAAATATGGGGTTTATTTCCAGTGAAAGATAACAAAATGCTAAGATCTTATTTGCAATAAACCTTCATTAAATACGTCTCAACATATTTGCGATCATCAAATATATTTTTGTACACGCATCGAGCACCAAACAAGAATGCATCAGAGTCATCAGTGACCACACCATCTACCAGGTCAACAAGTTCCATATAAGCACACTGAGCCTCAGCCTCCATGGGTGCAATAATATACGGTAAGCCAAATATTTGAAGCAATTCCTGAACTTAAAACAAAAAAAAACACAATTAGATATGCAATTTGTACCCATTCCACACCATACAGAAACTACAGGAAAGCTGACTAGCTGAGTACGGAAGTATTTGGACTTCTTAAAAATCCAAGTATATGTATGCAATTATTGAAATATTAGAATAAAACAAATAACAGAAATCACAACATGAAAAATAAGTGAGAAGAGCTGGCCAAATAAATTCCCGGAGAACAGCCTGGAGATAATATCTTTCATACATAATTGCAAACTGAAAAAATGTACAAAGAAACACTAAAAGGCGGCACCAAAATATAATTCCAGATCCAGGTCCAAACAGACAAAACCCACAAAATAAATCACAAAAAATAGTTTATTGGTCTACCTGGCACTCTGCAAACATTTCACTAGTTACAGATTCTGCATTGCGCTCAAGCCTCCTCTGCTCATCTACCAATTCTTTACGCTCCTCCCCTAATGCAATCATCTCTTCTTCCAAACTTTCAGGTGCAAATTCTACATGACCCTTATGGATATTCCCATCAACAGCGGTACCCAAGAGCTCCTCTCTCTTTCCTGCCATTTCATCATGTATTTGTTCCCCATCTAGTCTTTGTGCACTGCAAGTGTCACTAATCGGTAGAGATGTTTTCCCCGCTTCAAAGTTGCCTATATGATCTGATACTGCTTGGAACCTCTTTTCTTGAGCACATGAAATATTTAAATTAGGTGATCTGGGTGATGGACTTGCAAACATATTCGAAACACCAGAATAACTACAGCTTTCATTCACCACCTCAGGGATGGTTTTCAAAGTCTGCACTTCAATCATATGCTCCCCTGTTTCTTCTACATCAGTCCCACTTTCCACAGTAAGTTTTGGTTTCAAATTTCCACTTCCACCAAGATCTTGTAATTCAGACTCGGCATCTATTCTCCGAGTCAATATTTCCCCTTGCACCAGATTATCTATAACTGGTCTTTTTGGCTGAGTCTTTAAACAGTTATTGGTATCTGCAATGTCAGAGTGTGCTTTCCAATTCGATATCATCCCCTGAGTCTGATTATCTCTACATTTTGGGCCCAATTGGGTATTTGATGAATTATCGACCTCTATGGTTTCAACCCTATCTATGGCATTGTTTGTCTTCAAATATCTAACAGATTTGGAAAGTCCTTCTGGCTGATGAAGAACTTTAAGTTCTGAACTCTTATCATTGGAACAATTTTTTCCACGCCAATCTAGCTCAGTAATTGTCTCCATGGTACCTTCTCCATTGACTCTTTTGAATGCATCACTTGTAGATGATTCTTCAACTGACCTTCGCTGTTTTAAATCCTGGAGACTTCTTCTTATTGCTTCTTGAAAATCAGCTTCTTCGTCCAAGTGACCTTTAGAACCATTCCTCCCACCAGATGGGCAGGATAATCCACCCTTATGCATATCTAGAGATCCTTCCTCCCACTCAACTTCACTCTCATCATTCAACACACCATCTGACAGAGCAATTTCATTCCCCCCGGGAAAGTCACTACTTAGCATCCCAAATTTCTCAAGGGTGTCTCCTTCCTCCCACTCAACATCTGAAGTATAATCCACGGATTGTTTCTCAGCAAGGGAATTGCTTACAGAAAAGTCTAATATTGGATTACCTCCCACTAAACTAGCAAATAGATCATCATCATCACCACCACGGTTATGCTCTTTTTTCTCTTCAAAAGATATCTCAAGCGAAGTCCCACTTTTTAAAAGAGATGCTACATTTTCGACCTCATTACAGGTCATCCCATGGTCTGTGTCAGAATCATTCAAATTCTGGATCTCTTCATGTGCAGTAGTAGCATTGCTGCTAACTGTGGAAAACGTAGGTAAGTTACAAGCATCTTCATTTTGTACCACCTTCTCCTTCTCAATCTCTTTCATCAAGTCGAGGTTCCTTTGCAGATCGCGAGTCATACGGATTCCCATGGCTCTCACTCTGCTGACTCTGACCCGCCCCCTCTCATCCAAATATGTTTCCACATCATCATGAGTTATCCCTTCAGGCTCTGAAAGGAAAGATTCTAGTGCCACACTAGATTTCTGAACAGCAATATCATTGACCATAGTTGCTGAATTGTTTGAACTTCGTGTTTCAAATAGTTCATTCTTATTTTGGTTTTCTCCAGCGGATGTAAGGACTCTTATTGATTCACCATATGCAATTCAGCAGAAAAGTTATTTTATATGAGCAAGAAGATATGTGGAAGATGCAGTAAAACCAAAAGCAAAAAAATGTAAAACATATCCACCATATTTCATAATAGGGAGATGACGGGAATTATCAATTCATCGTGCACTTGTGCATAGGTATAGTTGAAATGTGTCCACTCACTGTTTGTTTCCTGTAAATGATGACGAGAAAATAAATTCTCTATTGGCCTCAGATGCAATACGTGAGATCTTTACACCCCCTATTCCCTTCCCGGAAGCAGATTTTTGCACTTCATCTATCTCACGGCGGAAGGCAACTGTTTTAAGGTAAGCCTGTATTTGCAATTCTGAAAACTTCTCTGGTGCCTGGTGAATGTATCCAAATAGGCAGATATTCAAAAGAAATGTAGGGTTGAGTCTATTAAACCATCGGTGATGCACTTTTAATACTGTTCAGTCCAGAAGATTGAAGAAAAATCACTGTACATTAAAGTGCCTGCACCTAGCTGACCCCATAAATGAAAATACCACCTACCTAGAAGTACTACTTTTTCTGGCATATGCCCTTATAATCAATAAACTCTAATTTTACACAAAATTTAAAGCTGCAATACAGACCTTTTCCCCTTTCCTTATGTAATACTAATAATAGGAAGAATATCAGCATTAACAAAATGGCAAATGCTTAGCATGAAAACTTTTAGACAAATAGAACCAAGAACGTGAAAATCAACCAGCTTAATGCTCCTAAGTCCTAACCCCATAAAATGTGTTCATGAGAAAACATCATCAGAAAGAGCACAGCTATGGGTTCCAAGTTTCTGGCTTCTGGATAAATTACCTTCTTCACCTTTTGATACTTTTGCCTATTTGCAGCCATTAATCTCTCTCTCATCTGCAAAACAGGATATCAATCTATCAAGCGGAAAAGATAAAGCACAAAGTTCATCATTATAGTGAGAAAAATAAAACTCTAGTCTCTAGCCTGAATATATATAGTAAAATTTACCTGAACAAGGAGATCGAGTTGCATAGATGGAGGCAAAGATGCTAAAACAGAAGGATCAATTTTTCCATGCATTTCTGGCTGCATATCAGAGTAGATATATCAAAAGTTCAGATGAAATCGCCATAATAGCCCACAACTTGAAATTCTAAACTTGAAAAAAGAGAGTGCAACACTAAATCATAGGGATCTAAGTTCAATAGAGGATAATAAGTAATCAAATATAATCTAAAGAGATGATCCTGTAACTATTGTTATTCTACATTTCTTGTTAAGGTGCATATACAATGTTGCTTTGTGTAAAATATCAAAGATTCACTAGTCAGGGACTAAAAGATCAAGGGCCCTTGTAGAGCTGATACCCTTTAACTGTCCTTGAGCAGTTAATTCGTAACTTGCAAAGCTAATACCGTATTCCACAAAGACACAATGATAAGCATATGAATGAAACGTGGGGAAATTGAGCATCAAACTATTAATACCATATGTAGTGGTAGTATTAGTAAAACTTGCCAATAAACATTTTTTAAGATTTTAACTTTGCCACAATATGGAATTAATGATAGCATCATAGCAAGTACTGCTATAGATTATTACAAAAACTCACAAGTATCATCTTCTCATCTTCATCACTGTCGTCACCAGCACCAGATGTTGATGCATTAGGGAAGAAGCTTTCATCTTCCTCTGCCGCCATGGATGCTGCCAGCCTTAATTAACTTGCCAAATTTCTGTGTGAGTGTTTAAACCCACATTTCCATTTTACACTAAATTTTCATACAAGGTAAGCAGTAACTCACATTTCATCAACTTCTTTCTGATTAATGTAACTGTCTGAAGCAAAGCCATTTGATCGTGGAGTGTTCTTCAATGCATCAGATTCCTCACAAACGACATTTTTCCCCTTTGTATCAGTCATGTTATGTTGTTTCTCGATATTTGCAGAAACCTTGTTTCCTGAAATTTCTTGCACGGTATCCATCTCCTTGCCAACAACACTTTTACCCTTCGAATCATTCTTTTTCCTCTGGTTATCCAAGTCTGCAGACAGTTCTTTCAACCTCATTGCCTTGAGCTGCCAATTAAGATCCAAGACAATTACCATCAAAACTTCATCCTATCCCTTTTATGTACTAAAATAAGCATTGCCTCAACCTAGTTATGTACATTACACACAATATGTATTTGAATGCCAATATCTATCAATATTCCTTCATTTGAATAAAGTAAACTTCATTTCTGCCTCTTAATCTACTGCATTGTCATCGTTTTCCTTCTTACTGGTAAAATGTAAAATTATAATCCTATTATGATTTCAAACTATGAAAGAACACGTAAGATGGAAAAAGTTGTTCAGTAAACTGACGTGATTGAGGAGTAATTTCTCTGCAGTCTTACGAATCTTAGCCTGAGCATTCTCTCGCTGGCGGCGGCGAGCAATCACTGTTCTACGCTTGAGAGCCGGCGTGCCTCCGTCGAACACAAAAACTGGTTTGGTGCGGAGGTAGAGCAGCTTGCAAATTCTACGAAAAAAGCCAAGCAGGTGAGCATTCCGCACCATATCCCCCTTCTCCTCTCGCATCGCCTTCATGAACTGTATCATCCATATGCTCGCATCTACAGGAAAACAAAACAAAAACAGCGATTGTGTAATTACATCTCCTCCATGGAAAAAAAGCGAGTTCAAATCCATGTCCCCGATTGACAAACTGTAAACGAAAAGTGTGGATTACCGATTGCGAGCCTTTTGCCGACTAGGGTTTCGACGGAGACCCGGCGGCCGACTGGCGCCAAAAGTTCCCACAAACCGTGAACACCCATTGTGCTGCCTCGTAAGAAATGGCTCCTTTAGCCCGTTGCCGCCAACTGATCAGGGGGTTGTCTACATACAATAAACCGACTTCGATCGGTTTGTGCCGTATGTTTTTTAAGGAGGTAGTACAAAAATGAGTAATATCAAATATGTATTTTTAATATGCGTAATACAAATATCAAATATGTATTAAATGAAAATAATTACCTTCAACAAAAAAAGAACATTTAATTAAAAAAAATTACATTAATTTAAAACTTAAAACAAATTATATTTAATCTTGATCTCGTTATGTCTTCTCTCGAAAACAAATTATATTCGTTTGGCCATTTGACTCGAGATCGGACAAAGGAACATTAAAACTGAAGAGATTCATGCTAAAAAGATGAAAAAATTGAATTTTTTTTAATTTTAAGAAGATAGAGAAAAGATTTTGTGGGTGTTTAGTTTTTTTTAATTCGAAAAAGAAAAGATTTTGTTTGTGAATTTTATTTTTAAAAATGAGTTAATTTATAGAAGTTTTTTTTAAGTTTGTAACAGCTTGTAGCCGTTTGAATGAAGAAATTTTGCTTCAAAACACACATTATAAGTTTGACGCAGTACCAATAACGCCTGGATGAAGGAAGTTTATAAAAGTTATGGAGTGGATAGGGATAAAAAACATTCAAAAAACTAGTCGTTTAGAAGTTGAAACTGTGAGTTTATTCGAACAAGTTTGCATTTTTTTCGAATAGGTTAGACGTTTCTGTAGTCCGAAAGCAACCACATTTAGTCGACTAAATTGACATTTATTCGACTAAATCAGTACATTTTCAGTCAGGGGAAAAATAACAACTTATTCAAATAAACCAAAAGTTATTCGGATAGAAGAACAACTTCTCCACACAAAGGCTGATCTAAAAAGCGTTTCAAAGGTAGGATTATCAATGAATGAATGTTAGAGATGTCATACTCTTTAACACACATTCTAAGACCTAAAAGATTATCCAACCAAGGAAACAAAATCTTCGGTCCGGATCCTTCCACTGATGTTCAAGTCCTCTCTTCACCAATGGATATAAACTTATTGTAGCTTTTATTCTTAGTCTTGATGCACAACATGATGATGATAATTTGTCACCTTTTTGACATTATCAAAACCTAAAAGACAATGGACAAAGAACATTGCAATTATATATATATTCATAATAACACATTGTCCAATGGTTATTATAATTTTTTTTATCTGTGATCATTATTTTTTGTACTATTATTATTACTATTTCTAGTATTATTACTTTCGGGTTGGACGGCCTGCGGATTTGAACATGAAACCTGAGCTCGGTCTTTAAATTTGTGGGTGCCCGATTAGTAAGGGTCGAAACGTTACATACTTCAAAATTCAAGCCTAATCATGCTATTTTGCTAGCGGGTTTTTACATATGAGCCAAATGTCTGAGCGAGTGCATGTAAGTTGGACACATGGAATGAAAATTGGGGGAAGAGAAGGCAAGAACAACTAACATTGATGCACTCCCTTTCCAAAATCAACTAATTTAGCCTTGTAGGGCTAAATAAAAGAAAAATTTGGATTAAATATGACTAAAACATAAGTTATTTCTTAATATAGGACCTAATTTTTTTTATTCCGAAAATAAGACTTAATAATATCTAGTAGTAGGAATAATGTCCAGTTATGGTGGATATTTACTTGAATAGTGACTAATGGATAATGATCAATGGTCCTAAATTAGGAAAATAAAAATACATAATACTATATTGAGAAAGTTATTATGTTACCGGTGAGCGTTGCGTAGTTAACAAAGCAAGGGGTGCCAAGGGGGTAACACACGAGTTCGATTTCCGGCAACTGCGTTGGGAGACAACTATGCTAAAATAAGACAATTACAAGTACCAGGTACAAGCTCTACTATTTGCCACCAATTTACGATTAACATCCAATTTACATTCTCTCAGTGATCGTCCGTTCAGGTATAAGGAGGGGACCCTCGGAGATGGGACTCATCTTTTTTTTAGAAAATTATTACGGAGTATGTATCAGTTTTAGACTTTTATTTAGGTAAATTCCTCTAAATAAAATTAGTCTAAGAAATTTTGATCTCCTTTAATAGTGACCCCTCCTCCGGAGATATGGCGGGTTCCCGGCTTGCTCATTCAAACGATTTCCAAATTCCCCCCGTCTTCTCTTTTCCACTCTCTTTCTGACGCCCTTCTTTACTTTAATCACTTTTTCTTTTTCTTTCTTTCTTTGTTTTTGTTTTTATTTTTATTAAAAAATCTCTACTTTCCACGGGAGCGGAGCAATAAATCTCTAGTATTTGTACCCCAGCAGGCAAGAGCCAGTGAGCGACGCGGCAGCAACAAGTGAGGCTTGACTTACAAGAATCTGAATCCGCCATTAATGGCGGTTTCATTGTGAGATATTATAGTTCCACCATTCTCCACCATCTCTCCCTAATTTCCCCTTTCTTTCCAAACTCGGCCAGTTATTTCAACCGGGCAGCAAGAATTTCTCTATTTTTGTTTAAATCAAAGTTGAAAATCTCTGGTTTTTTACTGGAATGATTATAGTCCAACATGACCAGATCAATGGCACAAGTATATGAGAGAAATAGAATCTTCAATTGCCCTCCACCTCCAATTTCTCCTTCTCCTTCATCACACGGGGTAAAAGGTAATTTCCACATCAAGCTAAGCCCGGCAGTGATTATCATCATAGCCACCGTCGCCGTCCTGTTCTTCATCTCCGGCCTGCTCCACTTGCTCGTCAGATTGCTCGTCAAGAAGCCCTCTTCTTCTTCTTCGGGATCGGAAGTAGTGGGCCACACGGAAGCCCTCCAGAGACAGCTCCACCACCTCTTCCACCAGCACGACGGCGGATTGGACCAGGCCTTCATCGACGCCTTGCCGGTGTTCGTCTACCGAGAGATCCTGGGGGGCCCGCCGCAGGCGGCGGAGCCCTTCGACTGCGCCGTCTGCCTCTGCGAGTTCCGAGAGAAGGACAAGCTCCGGCTGCTGCCGGCGTGCGGCCACGCCTTCCACGTCGGCTGCATCGACACCTGGCTCCTCTCCAACTCCACGTGTCCCCTCTGCAGGGGAACCCTGTTCCAGCCCGGCTCCTCCGTCGAGAACCCCGTCTTCGATTACGACGATGACGTGGCCCCCGGCGACCCAGCTGAGAAAGAAATTACCGGCGGCGAGGAAATTGTTGTTGCGCCGGAAAAGTGGAGTCTTTCTGTGAGACTGGGGAAGTTCTGTAAAGTGAACAGTACGGGCGTCGGAGACGACCAAGTAGAGGCGGCGAGCAGCAGCAGCAGATTGGACGCAAGAAGGTGTTTTTCAATGGGATCGTATCAATATGTCGTCGGAGATGATAATCTCAGGGTGGCATTCGACAACAATTTCAGAGTCAAGAAACCGAGAGACGGTGAAGGGCATCCACTCCCGCCGCCGCCGCCGCATCAGGCGTCGGCTTCGTGTGATGGTGCGGATGGGAAGAGGTTGAGTATTGGGACAAAGACGGATAGCTTCTCCATTTCCAAGATTTGGATTTGGTCGAAGAAGGCCAAATTCGGGTCATCAGATTCTCATGTTTATGTTTGAATTTTGAAATATGTCTACTAGTAGTTTATTTTGAAAAAGCCCCTAAGTAGTAGTAAAATGTCTTTTAAATACCAAAAGCAAAGCATGATAATTTTATGTTCAAAATAGGAGTTGGTGATATAAATTTTCAACGTGATGATAATAAAACAATGTAAATAGTGGAATTGTGATGGTGGAGTGTGGTGGGAGTGTGATGGTGGATTACCAATCAACAGTGATCAACATCGGCGACCAACAAAAGCTTTATGATGCACTTTGAGGCTATATTTAAATTATAATTTGAGTGATTTTTTACAATCTTATCATACTACATATATCTTATTAAAAGATTTTTTTTTCTATCCCTTATTGTGTTAGATATATAACTTATGGTGTTAATATAACTATATAGAGTTTAGAAGTGCCAATATTAAAGATTGACTCTATTCCGTCTTTGACAAATCAATACATAGAATATTAGTACTATGTAATTTTTGACAAATTAGAGATTAACATATAAACTATTGTCTAGTCACATGTAGTACCAAAACACTTTTAATTTTATTGTTCAAATAACGAGATTGCGTCATCTTGGTCACATTGGCCATCAAGCCGAAGCATGTTAGGCCCCCGCTTAATTGAGATAAGTCCGGTGTCCATGCACACAAGAAATGACTAGGTCATTTCTCTTATATATGATTGGTTTTCATTTCATCATTTTCTATCGACGAAGAAATCAAACTCGTGACTAGTCATTTACAAAATGACCGATCATCTTCCTCAAGATGAAAAAAATGCAACATGCAAAAAAAAAGTCTAATATAAAAACAAATTTTCAAAATGCCTAAAAAGTCTTTAGAATTGAAATGTCCAAAAAGGATATTCATTTTAATTTTTGTTTTATTTTATCTCTTATTTTATTCCTCATTTTTTGAAGTTATCAAGAAAAGTTTTAACTTTTTTTATTTGGAAAAAACAAAAAATATAAACTGTTTATTTGAGAGGTACATATGCAATATACTTGTATGTTAATTTTTGTTTCAATAAAAACAATTTTTAAATTTTAAGAACATTATAAAAAATAAAAAGAAATTTAGAAAAACATGATTAATAAAAGAAACAATGAAGGGAAAAAATGAGGAAAATAAACAAAAAATAAGAAAAGAGCACCAGTGCCGCCTATAATTTGAAAATTAGACGCCAATACCCCCGTCTCTACCGGAAAAATAGCCTGAAAATGATCAGGGGGAAATGAGTACAACATTTTGAAACCACATGAGTTTTAATGCCTATTTTCTAAATCACGAGGGAACTGGTGCTATTTGGCCTACATCCAATTGGTATTTAAGAGGAATTTTATCTTACTTGTGAATCAAGATTTAAGAAGTTGTATTCAAAACAACTTCTACATATATATCCTACTAGATTTTGGTTGAAAGAGATCTATATAAACACAACAAGTCCCTAGGATTTGAGGAGCAATTATGTAGAAAAAATATGCAGAATGTATATTGATATAGAGCATTTTAATAGCGTTACATAGTCGTCACTGTGTGAACAAGTTGCGATTCGGAGAAGTGTCTTATTATGTTATAATGTACCAGCGTAATATACATCTAAGGTGTGTTGGTGAGCCAAAAAGAAATATGTTTTGATATCTCCACCTGCCAAATTTCTTTTTTGGGTGTTTGGTGAAACCAAAAAAGATATCGAATTCGATATATCCAGATATCATAAATACTTCAAATGGAAAGTCTCGATATCTCCCGAATTTGAGAGATATAAGTATGGAGATTTGATATCTCTTTAACATTAATCATTTTCCATCACCGACTAACATTGTTACCACCAATCATCCCCGTTGTTGGTTACCCTCGCTTATCACTAATTAAATCATGATTTTAACTCTCTCCAAATAATTTTATTTCAGATTTCTAAACTCACATCATTTCTCCCATATTTCATAATTCATATCTTATCATATCTACAAAACACACCAAACGAGTCCCCAGTGATTTGGTAAAAGGCAATTACATTGACGTGTCACGTGGACCCTCTAGAGTAAGAGAAATTTTTTAAAATGCGTAAACATATTTGGTGTCATTCATTTTGTTTTTTTTATATTTTTCAGCATTTTGCTCAATATGTGCTGAAGCTTTTGGAGGCGGGTATAGCAATAAAATATTTGAATCAAATCAAATTTGGATAAATTTGAAATTATATTTAGAGTTTGATAATTCACAAACCAAAACCACACATCAATTGCTTTTCCATGGCCACAATGCCACGGTGACCGCCTCAATCATAGTACTACCGTCACCGCTGCAACCACACTACACAACCATCCCTACACTGCCAAAGCCACAAACACACTACCACCATACTTCTACCACCAACACACCACCACCTCCACAATCCCACAACCACAATCACCGTTAATGCCACTACCACTACCACACTGTCAGTCTAGCTACCACCACCACATTGTCGGCTGCCACATTGCTACTAGTCCTCCCATCACCTTTACACTCCCACCACATTTACACCGCCACACTCACACCACCACAACAAGCATACTGCCACGAGATAACAAACATAGGCCAAATAGCTCTCGTGCCTCCTGTGGTTTGGAAAATTGGCATCAATACCCCTCTGTTTTCAAAACTTATTTCTAAAGTTCCATTGGTTTCAAAACGTTGCACCCACACCCCCTCTGATCATTTTCCAGCTATTTTCCAGCGAAGAGGGGGCATTGGCGCATAATTTCTAAAACACAGGAGGCATTCATGCTCATTTCTTATTTTCGTTTATTATTTGTGTTTTCCCTTTTTTTTAAAAATATTTTCTATCTCATTTTCTTATTCCTAGAATTTTTTTTAAGAATATATTTTCAATTTTTTACTAGGGTATAATGTCTTAAAAATTTTAAAATTCTTTGTGTTTGGAATAAAAATAAAAAAATTAACATACATTACATATATCTCAAACTAAACATTTTTACTTTTTGTTACCTAGAATAATTTTTTGGAAAGTTAAAAAAATCCAGAATAAAAAAATAAAAATATGGAAAAACGAAATGAAAAAATTAAAATACGCAAAAAGGTCTTATACAAAAAACAAATTAGACACGCCTAAAAAGTCCTTAGAATTGAGATGTCCAAAAAGGATATTCCTTTTTGTTTTTATATAAATTTTTTTCTTATTTTATTCCTTATTTTTTTGAAGTTCTAAAAAAAATTTACTTTTTTCAGGAAAAAAAATTATTAATTGGAGACGTACATATGCATTATATGTTATTTTTTTCAAACAAAAATAACTTTATATTTTAAGAACATTAAAAAAATTATTTTAAAAAACCTTTATTAATAAATGAAACAAAAAAGGAAAAAAATGGAAAAAACAAAAAATGAGCAAGAAATAAAAATCAGCACTGATACCCCTATGATTTAAAAAATATGCACCAATGCCCCCCTTCTTTGCTGGAAAAATGGACGAAAAATGATTAGAGAGGGCACGGGTGCAACATTTTGAAATCATACAGACTTTAGATTTAAGTTTTTAAAACAGAGAGAATATTAGTGTGTGTTTTACAAACCACGAGGAGTACTTAAGCTATTTGGGCAACAAACATATACAATCGGTATAAAAGTTGCAACAAATGGTCAACAGTTTGTGAAAGTAATGAATAAAACCAATCACAGTCAATGTTTGCACTTTTTTTTATACAAATTGCACAAAAAGCAAAAAGTAATTTGAGGACACGAAAACAGATGGTAACAAAGCTGTAAAAAAAGGCATTGACAACAGTGACACCACAATCCCCATTGATACTGACAAAGTGCCTGCCAGATCACCATCGCCCCGTATTTTGCGCCACAATTCTCTCGTCCAGGTGACGCGCACGATAGCCTCGTACAGCGAATCTTCACGTGAACGGTGACGCGCCCCTTCCCGAATCCATCGTCGCCGTGATCGGCGCGTATCTCGGGGAGACATCGCGGAGAACGTCATCGTCCGCCGCATCGACGCCGTGCGCCGACCCCTCGTCGAAATTGAGGGCGTAACTGACGGGATCGTATCGGAACATCCCGGGCTTCGACCGGCGCTTGTTGAATCGGCGGATGAAGGTCTTCCATCTGGGACCGGCGACGAGCTCCGACCACTCCCGAACTCTCATGAACACCTGAACGCCCTTGGACAGCCAAGTGTTGATCTCCTCTTTGTGGCCTCCCGACGTTTGGATCCGTTCCCAGACGCCACTTGGACGCCGGCGGAAACACGGCAGCCAGAAACAGCAACCCCTGCCCTGAAACGCCGCCGCCTCTTTCAAATTATCATCTGCGGCAGCACCTCTCGGCGAGAACTCCGGCGCGCCACCCAGCTGCCCTTCCATGTTCAATCAGTGATCGGAATCAGGGCTTTTTGATTTGATTAAAAGGGAGAGAGGGAGGGAGATGGCGGTGCTTGACGGAGATATAGAAGTATAAATATTAAATACTCTCCTATCTCTTAAGAGTTTTGGTATGTTCTCGAGTTTTTTTCTTTTTTTCTAATCCTATCTTAAAATATACTACCTTCGTCCCGCTATATTCGTCCACTTTTGACTTTTGAAACTGTTCATCTAAGCACTTTGACTCATCAAATTCTCTCAATGTGTAAGCCTAAATATAGTCATGTGTGATCTTGTTTGATTTGTCTTAACATATAGATTATTAATATATAATTTCTATAATTTTTTAATATACAAATTACAAGATAAAATGGATTAAAGAAATGTATTGGATGGTGTGCAAAAATAAAAGTGGACAAATATAGTGAGACGGAGGGAGTATTTTTTACTTTTTTTTTTTAAATTTCAAAAAATAAACTGTTCAAAACATTTTTTTCTCTTCAACATGTCGCAGACACACAGATGCAAAAAATAACGCAGACACACAGTTACAAGACATCTATGCAGCACAAATATTTTGTGTCTGTGTTAGCTTAATGTACAAATGATGTACCCCATAATCCCATATTGGTATATATCTAGCTTAATTCTTTTTTTAACACCTCTTCAATAAGTTTTAGTTATGTATTTTTGTTTACAATCTTTTTACATTTTTTTAATGTTCTTAAAATTAAAAAAGAAAATTAGTTTAAGAAATCTGGAGTATGTAAGACTAACGTTATAGTACCTGATCTCCAAAGGATTTGATATGATTTGAATTGCTAAATCTTAACTCTCCAAAGGATTTGATATGATTTGGTGGACAAGTTATGCTTATATGCTCTTAAGTTCTACATTTAAAATTTGAATTTTTCACATTTTTATAGATTTGCAGAGTATTTTCTTTTTTGAAAATGTTTGCTTATTTTATACTACAAATGCACTAAGCATTATAAAATGAGCATGAACATTATGTTTACGGAACAATTTGTCATCTTTCTGTGGATATAATGATCTTCCCAAAGCACTATTCCAACTTCACGGGAATTTATATTTATTTGTGTTTTTTCATGGCCTATATGATAAAATAAAATATTCTTGTCACCACTTGTTTTGTTGAACTTTTGGTATAGTTTTTAAATATGTATGTTTTATTTTTTATTTCTATACCAATATTTAAATAAAATAAATTGAAAAAACTTGAGATTTTTCTTCGTTTTGCGAACTGAGAAGATCATTATAGGACGGAGGGAGTAGTTTTTATGCATTCTTCCAACTATGCTTGGTAAATAATTTATATTTTCTACTCATTCTTCTATTCTCTTTAAATTATTTTAACGTTTCTATATTCTCTCTCCTTCAATTGAGTATTATATTGAATTTATATTTATTTACAACATAAATAGTAATTGTTGTATATAACAACACTGTCCTTTTGGCAAACTTGGTAAATTTTACCTTTATGATTGCAGATGAAAAAATTGATTAATGCGTGGTAATTGTTATTTAAGTTGCACGAGGCGGAGATATGGACTTACACAGAAAAAGGGTTGGAAGCATGAAACACAAATGTTTTTCATATTTATAAAAAATTTGGGTGTGGAGAGGACTCTAAATATCTGAATGAGAACGGGAAGCGACACTTATTTAAAAAATTCGTGCAACATATATACATTGTAATTATTGCTATGTTTAGCAAAGAACCATATGGATAGAGATGCTCTAAGAGCATCTCCAACCATTGAGTTTTGGTTTGTTAAATGTTATTATTTGGCAATCCATTTCAATTTTTGTGCTCCAAGGGGCTTGCTATAGTATAGCATACTTGGTAAATGTTAACTTTGGCTTGTTATATATAACAAGCCTCTCAAAAAATAGCAAATCATGAAATTGATTAAATATATGATTTCTCTCTTCTTTTCTCTCATTCTCCTTCTCAAAATATAAAGTTACTTCTACTCTCTAATTTTTTGTTTTTGTAAATTTTTTTTCTCTACTCTTTAATTGGTATTTATTAAATATTTAAAATAATACTCCGTATATTTTATTATTTTCCCTAAAGTACGTAAAATAATACTCCGTATTGTTTTTTGAAATTATNGCAAGGAAAGGTTGGAGATGACAATGCAAAATGGCTTGCTATACTACTATTCACATGCTAAAAAATGACTTTAGCAAGCCATGTTTAGCAATTGTGGTTGGAGATGCTCTAATTAGTAAAAGAAATAACGTTAGGAGGTTCCTTGTGCCTTGTGATACTTGTTATTTGAGTATGATTGATTGAGTGCATATTAACTACTCCCTCCCCGCCTTCAAAAAAAAACTACTCCCTCCCCTAAGTATTTGTACATTTTTCTTTTTTTGGGCCGTCCTCTTAATTTATCCACTTTCTATTTTAGGTTAAAAAAATAGAGTAAAAATCTATTTTTGATATTTAATGTACTCTATCATTTCGTGGAAACAGTCTCTCTACTTTTAAATAGGACAAAGTTTTTAAACTCCATACACACACCCTCCAAACCTTACTTTCATGGGATCATACTCGGTTGTTGTTGTTGTTGACCTATTGTAATACTCCATATTTTTTAAGTCCCGAGTTATTTGGGATAGTTTGATTTTACAGAGTTTGAAAAAATAATTACAAAACTAAAAAATGAATAATTAAATGTGAAATTTGTACTAAATAGGACTAAAATATAAATCGTTTCATAATATAGGACTTAAACTTTTGTATTCTCTAAATAGTACTTAATAATGTCTAGTGTGAAGGATAATGTCTATAAATGGTGGACATTTACTTCAATAATGACTAATGGATAATAACCAATGGTCTTAGATTAGGAAATAAAAATATATAATCTTATATTGAGAAAGTCATTATGTTTTAGTCTTATTTAAGTAAATTCCCCTAATTAAATCTCTTTAAAAAAATTATCTGCTTAATTGTTTTATTAGGAAAGCAAAAAAGTGTTCTTAAATCTAATATAACCTGTTTCAACTCCCTTCTACGCTCTCCTTATTTTGGTATTTCTCAAATTTGTGGGGTTCATTTTTTTCAAGTTTTTTCTGAGTTATATTTGCTTCTTTTATCTTCAAAAATAAAATTTAAAATATAATTAGAAGCTCAAATATTTTCAAGTTTTTTCTGAGTTATATTTGCTTCTTTTATCTTCAAAAATAAAATTTAAAATATAATTAGAAGCTCAAATATTTATGCATTTATCTGGATAATGAGTGTGGATTTGTGGATGATAAGAATGTTTCCTTGATAAATTATTAGGGAGTATTATTAATGATAATATTAAAATTCCATTTAAGCATTTTTCAATGCCAGCAATTAGTGCTCTGTTTTGGTGGTGGTTGCACTCATCTTTGTCTTCCTTTTCTTCTTAGGATTGTTGTCAAATGTGCTGTTCAAACATCAAAGAGATAGGAACCAATAGAGATTGGAGCATTATTACCATTATTATTAGTATTATTCCATATTACTCACTCCCTTTCTTAGTTATTCCTGTCTTGCGGTTTATAATGCTCGACTGATGTTATTTTTTATTGAAGTTATCCACATATTGGTTTACAATTTAAACACAAAAATTATATATTTAAAAACTAGATCCAAAGTTTCTCAGGACAAAAGATAACATGACTATTTTATTCCAAGAGATGATAGATGAAAAAATGTTTTAAAAAGATGATTTAGTTTGAGTTAGCATACACTATTCATACATAGATATATAGAGAGTAACTTGTATTCATCAAGATCCATAAACAGATATTACGATAATGGTTATATGGTGGATGAGAAAGATCTTAGCTGTGTTCAAAATCACCACAATATATGGACTGGCGAAATCCTTCGTCTTCCTGAACTGCCCCAAACACAATCATCTTGCTTCTGTGTTCTTCCATGTAATGAGTCTGTGGTCTCGATGTCTGTTTCTTGTGATGGTGTTGATGAAAGCCGAAGAGTGTTGTTTTGTTCACCGAAGAGTGTTGTTTCGTTCTAATTGGTTGATGGCCATCTTCTTCATGATGATGATGAACTGTGTATGATTGGTTCTTTGACCGCCAAGAGCTTGAAATGGAGCAGAATTTAACAACAGATGAGCAAGTGTTCAACAATGCTCTTCCCAGTGATGCTAATTCAGATTTCTTGCTGGAAATCGATGAGAAAATTGTGCCGGTTCTACGTTGTAACAGAGACAACATGTAACCAAACAAACATGATGCAACAACAAGTGATGTGCCTGTAATAATGTAACGAAAAAAACAATCTTTACTAAGATTGTCTTAAAAGGTCTTTTTTTAAGAATGGTTTTTTTAAACCTGGATGGGAATTGTTGTGATTGTGAGGAGAGCAATCAGTCCTGTGAAGCTGGATGGCTTTAATTGCTCGGTTTCCTCTGTCAATAACCAAAAGCGAGCAGCTGCTTCGAACATAAACCACGTCAAAGTCGCTTGAAAGCTTTGCATCTTCGCTTGCTCTCTCCATGTCCCCTTGTTCTCCCTTTAACCATTTCCCTCCTGCAATTGTAACCACTCCTGTTTCCCAAAAAAATAAAAAAATTTGCTGTCAAAACGAGATATAAACTCGGGTTCTTTTGACACCGGGTCTATCTTTTTTTATTAAAGAAAAAGTCAGGGAACAAAAAAAAGGTAATGTAGGTCTATATATAGACATATACTACCATTGGTAGAGATTTTTCTAATGGCCATGTTCATGGTATCTGCAACATATACATTTCCAGTGTCATCCACGGCTAGCCCTTTCGGGTGATTCATCCTTGCGTTTCTCAACTCCCCATCAATGTGTCCACAACATCCTTCGGGCGATCCAGTGATCAACACAGGTTGGCTATCTGTATGTACAGTGGATGTTATAGTGGATGACTACTATGTGCCTACAAATTCCCTACAATACACATAAAAGGATACATTCTAAATGAAATTTGGCTGTAGTAGTAAATCATTGGTATAGGGAATGACTGTTATAGAGAGGTGTGCTTTTATGAAGATAGACATGGGAAGAAAGGCATCATACAGAGAGACAGTGGTGTTGAAATCTTGTAAATATTGTTATTTTCAGAATCAGAAATGAAGACTTGTTCTCTCACAGGTGAAACCACTGCAGAGTGTGGCTCAACTCCGAATTTCTTTCCATCGAAGACGGTCTCCACTTTGTATCCCCTCTCGAATTTCGTCGTTGAACTGATGGATATATCTGATGAAAAAGGTACAAAAGAATTGCAAAAACCCAAACTTTCATCAGTTGGATGCTTGGCTGCTATTCTGCTAAATAGAACACGTAAATAAATAAACCAACACATATATATAAGAACTCCAAATCTTACTGTAATAGGTTTTAAACTTTTTTTACCTGGTTCGGCCTCGGAGATTAGTGATACCACCCAGTGGAAAAACGCAGGCACGACATTGGTGACTATCCCAAAGACTTATTATATGCAAAAATACACAGTATAAACCAAGAAGAAGTTGTCAAAATTCAATCTTGCAAAAGAAGAAAGAAGAAGAAGTTTGGGTCTTGTCAACAAAACAATTCAACCAAAAGCTCAAGCTTATATTCTAACACGCCCCCTCACGTGCAGGCGTAGTCTTTTTCGAGCCTTGCACGTGAAAGGCGCCGAGTTTCGAATCCATGACCTCTTAGTCAACGAGGCTCCGATACCATGTCAAGGAACCAACTCAACCAAAAGCTCAAGTTTATGGTTATGGCCTAGGAACAGTTATTTATATTCTAACGGGTCTTGATTCTTGAATAAGAATGCACAAGGCCGGCACTTACTTGCAGTGGGTGTGGCTGAGGCTAAAGAAAACCCAGAAGGAAGATTCAAGAAAATGAGGACTAAAATCACAAACTTTTTCTTCTTCCCCATTTGGGATTGAAATGGAATTGAACTTTTTTTTTTGCTTGTTCTTAAGAATTGGAAGAAGAGAAGTGGGGTTTGAAGATTACATACATGGAGGATTGAGAATACTTTGTCCGCCAGTAAAGAATTGAAGACAGAATCCTATTCCAACCATTCTTTGCTTCTTCCCTGGGATCTGGTTTCATTTTGGCACACAGGTATTGCACAGTTTTTCTTTTATTCGTTATTTTTCTACATTCAATTAGAGTAGGAGTATAAAATATCTGTGTGTAACCAATGATGCACAAACAGATCCATTCATTAAATTAACTTTACCTTACAGTTTATGGAAAATAAATGCACACTTTTAATTGGAGTTTTTTGTGTTATTTACCCAAGATTTTGGTGCATGTTTATTACTTTATTCCTCGAATTTTTAAAGATGTACCAGTAGTTGCTATATTTTTTAAAAGTGTGGCTTATACTTGTCATAAATCGTGAGCTTTTCGTGCGAACTTTTAAATGTGCATCATTAGTCCTATTATTTTTTCGTTTTAGTAAAGTTTGGTCAAAGACATTATTAAATCAAGAGAGATTCTCACGGTTTCAATCATCACCATTTTTAAAAGTACCTCGTAAAAGAATGTCTTGACACTAATGTCTTTAAAACATATGCTAAGGCTGAATAACCAACTGGCAGTCGGCTTTTAAAAGTCTTGACACTAATGTTGCACAGAAGAACACTTGCAGGCGGCTTTTAAAGTCTTGACACTGTCCGTTGCCTTCATTTCAACATGAATTAACACCAAAAATTGTACCCTAAATTGTACACTACGGGTGTAAACTTTCATTTTGTACTAGTGTGATGGTTCACATTAATACAAAATACTAATGCAAAATTTTTCGGATGCACTACATTTTGTGTTCCTACAAATCATCAAAATGTTGGTAACTTTGGTGTTACTCCTTGGTGTACTCGTATCATGGTTGTTGTTATGTTATTAGCATATGCATGGGGAATTGGGTGACAGAAAAAGATGCTACAAAAATTCTACTGCTCTTTTGATCATAATTTATCTGCAGAAGTCATTAGTCGTCTCGTCCAAACTAAAGATCTACTGATTTTACAATACCAACTAGTAACTACTAGGCAGAGCTACCTAGCTATAGCTAGTTCAATTTTTCACAGGCGCAAAACCTACAATTTACAGTAATTTAAACAGCTAGAAACCTGCAAGAAAAAAGCTTGGGGGGATCCTACTTGTGACACCATTTTTGACATGAAAGGCAAGCACAGACAATCAGCGTTTGTGTGGGGGTACCCGTCAATGTCCGTGCTTGTTCTTTGGTGTCAAAAGTGGTGTCACAAGTGACATTTTCCTAGCATTGCCCGACCTGGAAATGCTGCTTGCTTGTTGTTATTATATCACACGAGGTAGATCATGCCGACCTCTAAAGTGGAAGCTCGGGGGAAGCTCAGGGCATAGGTGGGTCCACGAGAGTTCCTCCTCAAGAAATCATAACCTATGTTGATCACTAATCTCTTGAACAGGCTTGAACCACTCTTTGCTTTCACGTAGCAGTTCCCCAATATGAATGCCATCCCTGACTCTCTGGCTTCCATCAAATCCCTGAGTTCCGCTACTACCCCGGGCGGATCAACGTCCACCACATCTCCACCAGCACCGCTCTCCGGTAACAAAAACCTCACTCTTCTTTTCGGTGGGATCTTCGGCGAGCAAATCTCTCTAAACTCTCCTTCCGACGTGCTTTCGCTATCGTCCCACGGTCTCTTCCCTTCCATGTATGTGGAAGTGGTCCCGATGACGGTCATCTTCTCGTCGTCCTCGAAATTTGTTGAATGTCTAAGTTCCTTAATGACTTCTTCTCTGCCTGATGGCCGTGGGGCCCCCTCTGAACGGATGAATTGCTCGATACTGAAAAGGAGATCCTTTTCGAATGCGATGTCATCCAGGTGAACGTCCCGGTAGCCGTACCTTGCTATGCACCTGTAGACTCGGTGCTCTGGTGGGCCGATCCGGCCCACCAGGTACCTCTCCTCGGGCCGCACGTGTGGGACTGGGACCGATTTGATACAGAGGAAGACAAGGACCTGGTGGAAGGCGGGGAGGTTGGTGACAAAATGGGAGAAAATGGCGGGAATCCCCGAGACGAGCTCAGTGTGTATGAGGCCTATGCCACGAACCCTCACGATGCCGAGGTTCGGGCCTAGCTGGAGGAGCCAGTTGATGGGGACGCTGTTCTGAACGTCAAACTCGTATTTCTTCGTCGTTCCGTAGTTCCAGATGTACATGATGAGTAGAAAAATGAATGAGAGGGCAACCGGGACCCACGCGCCTTCCAAGAACTTGATGAGGGAAGCCGAGAAGTAGAGCGCCTCAATGGAGCCGAAGAAGAGGATGAAGAAGATAGCTAGGAAGACACTCTTGTGCCAGACCAGAACAATGACGAGTGACATTAGGCATGTGGTGACCAGCATGACAGTTATAACTGCCAGACCTGCTCCAACCACAACAGGGTAAATAGTTGTTAGACATAAATCGACTTAATCAAAAACCCAAACGTTTACTTGAAGACTTATGAATGCTTTTATACTCTAATAATACAAAGTAGTACTCCGTAATACATTTCGGACGCGTTTGGTAAGAGGTTATTTGGCTGGAAAGGTATGCAACATACATTTCAGCCAAATATGACAAGAGCTGCATACTCTGTCTGCATTAGATAAACAGAATGCACTCTAGATATAGCTACCAAACTGATCCTTAGCTCATTGAGAGGATAATATATATCACCAATAGGCATTTGTTGAGCAAGAACTTACCTGATGCATTACTTATGTGTTTTGTGTCTCGAAACCCAATAGTGACTGCCAAACATAGGAACATCAATGTCCAGTTGATTTCTGGGATATAAATCTGGCCATGGAATTTCGAAGACGTGTGTGTAATTTTGACCCTTGGGAAACAACCTAAAGCAGAGCATTGCTTGATTATAGAAAATGTTCCCGTTATGATAGCTTGGCTTCCCACCACGGCTGCTAGTATTGCAATGCCAAGAACGGGCCACCTTAGCTTTTCTGAACATGCATCAGAATAAGAAAGCTTAGAAATTTAGAACCCACCTCAAAATATAACGGTTTTGGACTTGGCTGTGTCAAAATTGCAATACCCAAACACGGTTAATCGTAGTAAATGAGTTCTATAATTTGTCCTAAGCCTGTTCAAATCTTAAATGTAAACACCAAGACCCGTCTGGACCCGCCCAAATATTCTTTATTCATTTTTTTAAGAATGAAATATGAAGTATGTAGCTCACAATATTTCTCTTTTCCTATATGAACATAAGAATTTTGAACAGAATATGTAAAAAAATCACTTGATAATGTCTTGTTCACACCTTTGGTGGAGAATTCTTTTCAAAGTGAAAGGAATAGTAAAATGATCAATTCTCCGAAATTCAACAAAGTGCAGCCAAGACAATTGGTGCTGGATTTATTGAATTTGGGACTTCTTTCTTTTTTTGAAGGCGAATTTGGGACTTTAATTTTGTTAGAATATTAAAAAAAAACTTTTCCTATGCCTGGTTTGACCAAGATTTAGAAAATGAAGGGAAAAAAAAAAGAATACCAGGTACAGAAACATAGAATCCAATCCGGTAGCCTGTTTCAAGGGTGTGATGTTTTGAAAGGTAAGCCGCTTGTCCCATGTAAGCAAGAATCAGTGATGGGTAAACTGCAAAAGTGAAAGCTATCTGCAACATAGGAATTTTTTTAACAGATTTTATCAAAAAAGCAATTTGATGATAATGTCTTGTTCACACGCACCTTTGGTGGAAATTTCTGAATGGGCAAAATTTCTAAAGTGCACGGAATAGTTAACTGGTCAATTAACTGAATTTCAACAAAGTTGCAACCATGACAGTAGTGGAAGGCAAAAGTTGAAAAGCACTACTAAAGATCAGATTTTAGAGGGCATCTTATCATGCATCTTATTACTCTAGATATTTTGGAAATAGACTTTTACAAGGCACCATTATTGACTTTATTCTTCCATTTTTACAAGGTATTTTTTTCTTCTTCTAGACATGGTGATAAATACGGAGTTATACTTTTCCACTCAATTTATACTTATTGTAATATATTATTGATCTTCATAAATAGAATATATCTAAAAATTATATTTGAGACAATTCACCAATATAGTACTCCCTAATTTATTCAGTTAAGATTACCTTAATAGATAACTGTGAAAAGTGCCCAAGATCAGCAAACATGGCTTCCGAACCTGAAATGGAGATGCTAAAAAGATTATCCAAAACGCTAACGCTAACAAAAAAGGCTCTTCCTAGACAAAGCCTTAATCGAATCCAATCATCCGAAGACGAGAATTAATTAAAAGAGTGTGTAAACCAACCAACCAACAAATTCAACCGACCTGTGATGCACAACAGGATGCCGCCGAGAGACATCCAACCACGGCGTTGGGTCTTCCTCAAGAACTTGTACATGTAGTATGGGGAGAGTGCTTGGTACACATGTGGATTCCACTTGAAGATGTTGTACATTCCGATCATGCTGATGCACACAAGCCACGTCACCACTATCGGCGCAAACAGGAATCCTATTCGGTGGGTCCCATAATGCTGTATTGAAAATATCAGCAACAGTATCGCGCATGCCACTGGAACCTCTACGTCTGCGGCCAAGCAATTTACCACATTCATCCTCAGCTCATTCATTATCACCCAGTATTCAATATTAATTATTTTTGGCATTATATTTTGATACTCCCTTCGTCCCAAATTATTTGCAACATTTGCTTTTTCAACAGTCGCGAGAACTTTTGTTTATTTCTACGTTTTCATTGGTTATTTGATAAAATAATATATTCTTGACACCTCTTATTTCGAAGAACTTTTCATGTAGTTTTTTGATATGTAAATTTTATTTTTTTATTTTTATACCAATATGTAAATAAAATGAATTGAAAACACTTGATATTTTGACGGAGGGAGTATTATTTGGCATTATTAAAGTATACTCCTAATTTTGGTAGAAAAACATAGATTTGTCTTATATTGGTATGTAAAATATGGAGTATGTTTTAATCCAATGTATTTTTTTCCTTCTCTTTACTTTACTTTTTCTCTTATTTGCTTTTTTACAGTTTCTAATGCTACAACTTGACTATTAATATTTGTATTTCTATACAAACATACATCGTATATTATAAAAATGATACTTCAAAATTATACTGGTATTTCAAAACGAGTCTTCAAATATTAATTTTAAATCACAACTCAATGTATTTTTCTGTATTTTGTAGTCAAATTTAAAAAGATCAACCATCAAAGTGAACAGCGGAAGAAAAAACTATTTAGAAAAATTAAACTGATATGGAGTGGTAATTGTTTTAGTCAATCATAATGAATCACAGTTAAAACTTCTTTCTCAAATGGAAGGGGGACTCATTTTGAAAAGGATAAGCATTACTATCACTTTCTCTACTGTTACTATCAGTGTCTCTTTATTCACTCGTAAGTCGTAATCCGTATAAGAGTCCGTATCTAAGTCCAACTTGACTGCCTCCGCTTTCATTCCTATCTCATACTGTGAAATCAGTCATTTACAATATATTAATTCCCATAGTGTTGAATTTATTGATCTCATTCTTTTCAATTTTTTACTTTTAGTCTAAAGGTGTATAACAGTTGTCCAGATATTAATAAGGTTTAGTAAAGATCTTCCAATTTAGTCTTCACACTCAAATTCTAGATCTTAATTGCCACACTCCAGTTATAAAATCTAGTTAAAATAATTGCTTAAATCTAGTTCAAAATATTATTACATCCAGATTTCAAAGTAAAAATTTTGCCAAAAAAAATCATCCAAACTGGTATGTGGGATCAGTTTTGATTATTGTGACTAAAAAGATTTTGATTCTTATTTCAGTTTTCAATTTCTTTTTATGAGCCTTTTGAAATAAATTGTCCAAGAAAAAAGAATTGTACCCTTTATCCCAAAATAAAATTTTCACTGCACTTTAAAGTGTTTGACTAAAATTAATTAAGTTTAAGAGGCTGTTTGTTTCAGCCTCTTAATGGTTCAGATGTCTGAATGGTTCAGCACTTAATGATTCAGACTGTTTGTTTCAGCCTCTGAATGGTTAAAAGATTTACCTCTGAATGGTTAAGTATTATACAGAGTCTGAATGGTTAAGACCTCTTATTTGAATTGATCAGACATTTGCCTTTGAATAGTTAAGCAATATACTAGCTCTCAATGGTTCAGACCTCTTACTGGTTCAGCACTTAATGGTTCAGACCTCTTACTAGTTCAACACTTACCTATTTAGAAGTTGTCAAACAGTCCCTAAGTCTTCTAATGCATTATTTACATTGTTAAATTTTACTCGCTGTGTGCTTATTTTTACTATTTATTTTATAAAGTAACATAGTAACGCCATCTATTGTTTGTGAAACTTTGTATGTAATTTTGTTCCATATTCCAAGTAATTTTTTTTAATAAATCGATTTAAAATAAAATCAATAAAATTTCATAACACGTAATGAAAAGATGGAGGGAGTAAAATTTTAACATTAGTAATCCAAAGCCCACCTTCTAAAATTTACACTTTAAACTTTATCACTCCATGTTCAAATTTATTTTCTCCATGTCTTTGAGTACCGTACGTAGTATCGCTTAGACACAAACTAAACAGCATGATGTTTTTATATTGTCTCACCTGAATATGAAATTCAATGAAAAACATATGAAAATTTTAAAAATGCCTCGGTGGGACGCATAAACATCATTTATCGAAACCTCTTTTTTAAAACCACGGAGTAATTCTTTATAACTCCATTTGTCCCTACAAGATTATTAATTATGCAAAAAGTATATCTAATTATATTATAAATTTAATAAAATTAGATTTATTTTAAAATATATTTTTGAAATATAAACCATTATATCAAGTAATATTTAATTATTTTAAAATATATTTAATTTGTGGTTAAAAAATTTCACAATTTAACCAAAAACATTTGGCAATCTTTAAGAGAGGGAGGAGGATTTCGTACGGTAGGCCTGTTTTGTTCTCAAGCTTGAAAACAAAGGTGGGGCCCTACAGACGGGCACATCGTACTAGCTAGGGTAGGCAAGCTAGCCCTTCACTCGATGCTATTTTGTGACTTAATATGTTGGGTCAATCAAGTTTAACCTTTTCTTTTAATTTAGAAAAAAAATTATTTTTGTATCAATATTTGATATTATTTTTATTTAATTTGTATTCAAAGTTTGTTAATTTTGAAGAAAAAAAATTGAAAGTTGACAAATACTTAAAGACAAAGATATTATGTTGATTTACTGATTACAAAATATAGGATTTATTTGGAAACAAACAATATAATATTTTGAACTCACGTTAAAATGTTGGATAAATTTTCAATGATGCAAATCAGCTTTAAAACCCCTAAAGTTATCTCCAAACGAGCACTTGAGATAAGATTCTTAAAATTTAATTTATTTACAAATTGATATATTTAAACTCGTTAAAAATCCTTATTAGAAAAGATGATTTACCTATTTTATATTACGGAGTATTAAATAATAAAAAAGACATTTAATTATTAATGTTCCAATCACAAAGTCATGTGTGGAAACATCTTTTATTTTCTTAAATATATTGTGTGCCGGAAATGATTTTTTCATTTTCTTTGGTTTGGGCTCTCTATTTGGTAGCGTGTATGATTGGGTTTATCTATGCAAGTACAAATTCTATTCATAAAAGAGAGAGGTTTGGTTTTCAATTTAAAAAACAAAATTTTAATAAACTTTCTTGATTAGTTAATTGATGACCAAAAATTAGGCAAATCGCTTTTTAAAAAAAGGTAGATGGTTATGCACTTATGCTACGTATTACATTCACAACAGCTGCCTAACCAAACGGAGACCAAACTTGCAACTGAATCTCGGAATATCGTGTAGCCTATAAGCAACCCGTACTTGATTAATTAAAGACGTCTAAATTGCAACCCAATATAATTATATAAATTATTCATAACTTTATTATCATCGTCATCGTCAATATAATTCAGTATTATTACTCAGCATTTATAATCCTGTATTTTGTATTATTATCATTATTATTATTAATCTTTGACATGATTACTACTTCCTCCTTCCCTAAAACGATACTACACTTTGACTTTTTAGTCAAACTGTGACATTTTTTTATCACGAATTAAATATAATTTAAAATAATTAAATTTTATAAAAATTTGACATTTCAAAACTATATTTTAAAATAAATCCAATTTTTCAAAATGTATGTCATAACTAAATGTACCTTTTTCATTGTTTACGGTCAAAGAGTGTCATAATTTGATTAAAAAAAATCAAACTATCACAATCTTTTAAGGATAGAGAGAGTATTATTATTATTTGTTTTTGTTGTTGTTATGATTATTATTATTATGATTATTATTATTATTACAATTATTATTATTATTATTATTTTATTATTAATATTAATACTCTGTAAATAAGGTTTAAAAGTTTCAACTTTATTGGTAATTTCGGTAATTTCCTATGTCGGAGAAAAGAAACTTTAAAGGTGGAGTTTTCAACTTACATTCATGATGGTGTTTTGACATGGAGAGCTCTAATCCAGACACAGCAGAGAACACTGCAAATATATGAACCAAACAAAATTTATCAAGCAAAACTTAAGATAAGTTATCAGCGAAAATAAAGGTCAAAGTTCCCATGACATTGACAGGCAATGTCATGGAATGACCCAGGGGCACCGGAGCGCCCCTAGGTCATCACATGACATTATCGGGCAATATCATTAGAATCTTGGTAAGCATTTTAATATTAAGAAAATATTTTTCTACTAAAACATTCTTTTCATTTCAATTCACGGGGTTTAATGAAGTTATTTTTCAATTCAATTAAAAAAACAACCGATCCAAAACAATAGATAGAGTCTAACATAAAATAAATCACTTGCATATAAAAGTAAAAATTTATACTCCTAAAGTTCTACTATAAGATAAAAAAGTGACATTCTATATATATGTAGTAAAAAATTCAAAATATCTAAAAACGACATAAAATTTATTTAATTATAGATATAAAATTTAAAAGTAAAAATTCATATATCTAAAAACGACATCTAAAGATCTACTATAAAATAAAAAGTGACATACTATATTCTTTTATCAAAAAATTAACAAAACAGTAATAAAATTTCACCGTGTAAAAGTTTAATTTACAAGGTTTACCAACATAACTTATACTCTTAAAGTTCAACGGGGTGATGTTTAAGCACATGTTCTTTTGACATTGGGCATTAAAGCTAAATGATACTACATTTTGAAAGATTTTTTTCACAAAGTGACACGAGAATTAAGAAAAAAAATACATGGTTGATATTAATGTTAAAAAATAAAATAAACTAGTGTGCGAATGAATATGAACCACAAAAGCATAACCAAATATAGTACGGAGTATAAAAGTATGGAACAAAATAGAAGTGGTAAAATATGACAAAAATAGTGGAGGAGACACCGTTCTAGTTCTATGCCAATAGTCCCAGGACCCGAACTAGCCGTGCCAATGAGGAGCGGCTTGACCACCTCACTCACACCCGGTTGCCATAACACATTTAAAGTGATAAGGTGAGGTCCTTGGAAGGTGATGGCCATCACGCCATTGCCATTTCTTTTATTTTTTTCACTCTTTTCTACCAATCTGTGACTAAATCTAATTTGACCGTTCTACCGGATCTGAGAAGTCTTCGGGTATGGAGCTCATCCTTTTTTTTCTTCTTAAATTCTCAATCAAAATTTATCACTTGTGGTCAAGTCTTGTCAATAACACGTATTTTTACTCATTTATATATAGCCTAAATGAGTGGGCCATTAGTTTACCTGAAATAGCAGGGGTTAGGACGCCATCACCAATGACCATACAAGCACCTATGAGAGCCAAGGCGAGCAATACCCGCCTCAACCAATGGTGCTTCTCCAGCGTGGACCTCAAGCTCAGCCTAACGCCGCCGTTATCACCGCCACCTCCAGGCAGACCGCCGCTCATCGCATCGCTCTGGTACTCGAACAGCTCCTCGTCGGCGACCTGACCGTTGGGCAGGGTACTGACCCGGGCGTGGCGGCACAACAGAGAGTACAGGGCGAAAGTGCCGCCTTCTCCGTTGTCGTCCGCTCGCAGCACGATGAACACATATTTCAGAAGCGGAATCAGAGTCAGAGTCCAGAAGACGAACGACAGGACGCCAAATATCTCTTCGTTCGTCTCCGAGTGGTGAATGTCCTCCGCGAAGGTGCTCTTGTAGACGTACAACGGAGAAGTGCTCAGATCTCCGTAAACCACGCCCAGGCTCTGGTACGCCAGGGCCAACACCGTTCTCCATGACTCTCTCTGCGCGATGAATTCGGTCAATTCAGTTCAATTAGAATAGAACGGGAAACGAACTCCGATCTGCGTCCCCAAAATTCAACACAATTAGGTTCGATCTGTACTCACCTGGACGGGATTACTGTTCCGACGGCCCCAGCCTTCGATGTCCATCACCGGTCGCCTGAATATCATCGGGAAAATCGCATTTCCGGCGAGCGAATCGGAAGAAATCGAGCAGCGGTAGTTGGGACGCCCCTCTCTTCAAATCTAGCACTCCAACAAACTTTTCCGGGAGAGGAGAGCAATTAGCAATATGACGGAAAAGAGCACTAATTCTGGACACGACGGAGACAGGCCGTATAGTGGCGATTCGTGCGTGTTGCAGAGAAAATAAGACGCTATCTGAGGGAGGAATTTGTTGAGGGAGGGAGGGAGGTGAAGAATTTATATACTGTAATAATATGCACTTTATTTATAGTTTATACCGGAAAAAATACGGAGTGTATCGGACACTGTGTGTATTTGTATTTGAGGAAAAGAATGATTGATTAAAATTAACGGGGGAATGTGTTTGGCGTGAGCCCATTTTTGTTACCTTCTCTTTCATGTCTATAAGTGTCTACGACAAAAATTGGATGGATAAAAATTAAAAAATTTGTTGAGATGAAAAGAAATACAGACTGTTTTAGAAAAGAACTATGGAGTGTTATTAATCATTTATTCAATTTCATTTACAAACTAACACACTTGAAAAAGTTAAAAGAGCGTCAAGAAAAATTTAATTCTTATGTTTCAACGGTATTAGAAGTTAATTGTGTTAAATATTGATCTTCTCTCAATGCAAGATGCAGGTTCAATTTTTTGGTATCTACTATCAATTTGAGATCAAATTTAATTTATATTTTCTCAATACCGTTTGAAAAGGTCTGAGAGGCACACAGAGATGATGCTCATCATTTTTTCTTGTATGGATTTTTACTTTTATCCTAGGAATTTATCTAATTTTGATTTTTTGTAATCAATTATTTTCAACTATTTAATTATAATTAAATAAAATATATATCATATATTAATAAGATAAAATAAAATCTTAAAAATATTTTGAAAATAAACCTAATACAATTATTTTTGTATAAATATTTAATATCAGTTTTAATTAATTTACGTTCAAAGTTTGGAAATTTTAACCAAAAATATTAATACAAGGGAGGTGTTTTTTTAAAATTAGGGATAGATTAAAATAGTGTATTTAATATTTTTATAATTAAGTAGGATACATATGTAGCCAAATTTCATCCATATACTTTAGGTTTTAAACCTTTTTTTAAATTCTATAAAATCAATTTTAAATTTTCGTTTGGTGAGTGAGGGAGTATCAGGAGGGGTGTAAGGGCGGTGTTTAGATATTTTAAAATCTTGTGGTTTATGATTGTCGTACCCATTTCAAGAATGTATTATATGGTTTTTTTGGATAATGACTTTTCGTCTGGCTTTTGACTTCTTTGACTGATTTTAATTGTTTTGTTTAATTAAAAATCCAAAATCATTGTTTCGCAAAATGCTTTTTCATTTAAGTATTTGTTTCGAAAAACCAAAATTTAAAAAGTCAAAGGTCGGTAGTAGTAGCTTTTAAATTTGGTTGTTAGAAAAAATTAATTTCTCTATATTTTTTCTATATGGAAATATGTAAATAATTCAAAACTATATAATTTGAAAAAATAAAAAAAAGAAAAAAAAATAGAAAAAAATGCAGTAAAAAAAAGATATGATAAAAAATAATACTTATTCCTTCCAAAATTGGCTTAGTTATTATAACTCACATTTTTATGCCCTCTCATTCAACCACTTTATTATTGCATCTCATTAAAATTTTCTATATTTTTATTAATTTCTATGATATATGAAAGTGTAATATTTTAATGTATGGGGATTATACTTAATTATATAATACTAAAATATAGTGAGTTTTCAAATATAGCCCCATAGTTCTAATTTCCCAATGTGATATTAATGTTCATTGTTCAAGTAAAAATGTCCACCTGCCGTCTCTTGATATTGTTCTCATATTATTGTTCAAATATTATTTAGGAAATAAAAATTTTTAGATACTACATTAGGAAAAGACATACTCTCTCAGTCCCTAAATGATTTACACATTTCAGTATTCAAAAATTACTAGAACTTTTGTTTATTTCTGTGTCTTCATTCATTATTTGATAATATAAATTATTTTGTCACTTCTTGTTTTGTAGAATTTATGATGTATTTTTTTAAAAATACATGTTTTAATTTTTATTTATACAGTGATCTTTAAATAAAATGAATTTAAAAAATGTTTTAATATGTGATGTGAAACGCAACAAGGCTAGGCGTGGAGAAAATATTTTGTTGTTGACTAATGAAGCGATCGAGCTGCTAATTACACCTTAAATTTAGGGTACGGTACTATAGTCTTTAGTGTTTAGACACCCAAATCATGTGCAACCAAAATTTAGTGGGATTAAAACCCTGGTAGAAAGCATCTTTGAAAAGTTGAATTGAAGACTTGTTGCACTATGTTTTTACACGTTTTTTGTTAAATTGATGGGAATGTTAAGAGAGGATTTAGTTGTTTACTGTATTTAAAAAAAGGATTAAATTGTTTGTACCTTAATTTATACACCGCAGATGTGCACTTTCATCTTGTGCCAGTGTGATCCTAGAGTGACGGTTCACACATGCACGAAATATTAGTGCAAATTTTTATTATCACACTAGCATTTTGTGCAAATATGAACCATTAAAATGTACGTTAGTATATATCTTTGGTGTAACTTTGTAGTACACTTTTTGGTGTAATTGTAGCATGATTGTTTTAAAAAGTACCCTCAAATCATTTTATCACTAATTTGTGTTATTAGTTTTATTTTTTTTAAAGGATATTTAGATAATTTATCATAATCTTTTCATTAAATTAGAAAAAATGCACAATTGCACATCTAGTTTTGAATATTTTAGGTGTGTTTCTCTGTGCATATGTTTATAAATGACTTAGTGCTAATAAATCATTTTTAAATTATAAATTACTTACCCCGTATGAATTAAATATTTTTCATGAAAGTAAATCGAATTAAATGATAGATAAGTCGTTTGGGCATATTTATATTTGGTGAGAGATGATTTTATAAACAATCTCATCAGAACAGAGAAATAATAAAAATTTGAGAGATCGTTTCATGGAAAGAAATAATTGGTGATGGATAGTTTCGTACAAACAATTTTCAATTTTTGATAAAATTATCTTTAAAATTTTTAAAAACGTTTTAGAGGTAGAGAGAAAAAACAAAAAAAATGAGTGATCTAAGAGTTAATATACATTTATCTTCTTTTTTTGAAAGGATTGATATACATCTATGGATCCATGAATATTAGACGTAATGTTCTCTCCTAGTCATTACTCCTACAACAAAATTTTAGAGTGTTTATAATCTTCTTAGACTTTGTTTGGTAACAGCGTTTTCGATTAGCATTTTGGATAAAATTTTAATGGTGCAGATTAATTCTGAAAACGCTAACGCTAAAGGCTACCATCGGGTAGTTTTTTCAAAACGCTAACGCTAATCTCTAATGCTGATGTCAGACAGGGCCTTAAAAAAATGTGTGAGTTTTTGGGACAAAACTTTCGTAGGAGCTGTGTGGGTACAATAGGGACCAGGGTAGGTTTGTGTTCTCTAAACTATGGAGTGGTTTGTTAGTTGTTGCAGAGCTGTGATGGGCAAAGAAAGAATATTCTTAATTAATCTCTTTATTTTCTCTCTTTTTTTAAAAAAAAAAAAATCTGAGTGTGGGTGGAGAGGGATGGGGTCCGTCGTGGGGTCCGTCGACTGCCATGCACATCCAAAGCTAGAAAGGGGGCCCCGATGTTCCCACATACAGTCTTTTTAAGTTTTAACCAATGATATAACTGCATACTCGCCTACTCGGATTTCTTTACTCCTTTTTATTTTATCCTAAAAAAAATTTACATTTTTTTTGATTAATTTCACAATAAACTTAACACGGAATATCTCTTTTTCTAGGATCTATTTCAAAATAACATTACAGATTAACAATAACACTTTGGATAAATTTTTAATGCTACAGGTTACTTTGAAAATGGTAATGCTATGTCAAATGCAATCATATTGCATTCACCGAAAATTAATATTATCGAAGGTTATAATCAGAGGCAGACCCACCTTGAGTCCTATGGCGTCCCGGGACCCCACGGATCCCGGTGTAGGTCTATATAGGTATGAGATTTGTAAAAATATTACTTCCTCCGTCCCTAAATAGATTATTATTTTTCTCTCTTGTCAATAACTTTTGTTTGTTTACGCGATTTCATTAAGTATTTGATAAAATAAAATATTCGTGTCACCTCTTGTTTTGTAGAACTTTTGACGTAGTTTTTTAATATCTAATTTTTATTCTCTCCGTCCACAAATAAACTTTACGTTTACTATTCACAGGGTCAAACTTTATTCACTTTGTTGGTCTATTTTCGTCACCTATTTGATAAAATAAAATAGTCATGTCACCTCTAGTTTTATAGATCTTTTGATATAGTTTTTTATATGTATTTTTCAATTCTACACCATTTTTCATATAAAATGATTTGAAAATAACTTCTGCCAAACATCGTAACGCGTAATGTAAAGTTTATTTGTGAACGGAGGGAGTATATCTTATTGGTATAACAATTTGTAAATAAAATAATTTCAAAAATAGAAAATTTTACTCCGTAACCCGCAATTTGTAATCAAATTGGGATAGAGGAAGTAATATATAACAAATGTGTAGTTCCAAGTAAGTAGAATAGTGTTCGGTTTAGTGAAAGCGTAATGACACTTTAGTAACCCGGGTTCCACCCCCACTTGGTCTTTTGGAGTCAATTTTTTTCTTTTTAAAAAAATAGCATGGAGTAAAACGACGTCTTCTCTCTTGCACCTCTTTTTTCTCTACAAATTTGTCCTCTCTTCCTCAATTCTCTATTTCAAATTTTTAATTTTGAACCCTAACCTTCGGTAATTCTCGGTCTCTCTTTCCCGATGCCCGCCGACCTCTGTTTGCCGTGCCGCCGAAGTTCGACCACTGTCCACAGCGGCAGCCCCGGCAGGTAATTAGTGTTAAAAACTTTTTTTTATTTTACTAAAATTAATTTTTATGGTAGTTTGAGGTTTGATATTCCCTCCATCCACAAATAAAGTTCTCACTTTCTTTTTTCGTCCGTCCAAAAATAATCTTCTCATTTCTATTTTTGGAAACTTTTTTATACCTAAAAATCTAAAATACCCTCCCCACCCACTCCATATCTTTTCTTTTTCTTTCTTCCTTCCCCATCCGTTTCCTTTCCCAGCCGTAACTTTTCTTTCTTCTCTTTCCTCTCTCTTCTTCTTTCTTTTCTTATCATCTTCTTCTTCTTT